GTAAATCAAAAATTAATTCATTAGCAAATAACTATGTAAATAATTACGCTGGAAAATGTAATCTAAATAGTTTTATTAGATATTAGATACTGTATATTAATTACGATTCTCGTAGTAGCTATATGGAAATATAATTTGTTGACAAAAATAGGATATATTTATAAGGATTTACTATTCAAATAAAATTGATTGGAGTGAAATGTTCTTAGTGAAGTAAGCAAAGAGGCTAATTCCACGGCATCTTTTTTTTAAATTATTATTATTTTATAAAAAATTTAATAAAATATTACCAAACAATTAAACGATTTTCTCGAATATGATGCACATATAATAAACTATTGAAATTAATTATTCAATTACGTCATGAAAGAATAATTAATTTTTTGATGCCACCTTAGCTCAGTGTGAACTATATAAATGTCCTTAAATCGCTCTTACGGCCAATTTGCGCTTATAATTTGCACAATTACAGATAAATCTGTACCATTTAGCTCCATTACGGAGACAATTGCATGGAAGACAAATTTGCATGACAGGAATGAATAACTTTTTGTATATTAGTATAAATCCTCTTTCACGTGTAATAACTTGTAAAATTCGAGAAGTTTTTATATAGTCTATTTCCTAATTGAACTATATAAGGAGATTTAATATACTACCAGCATTCGTGGTCAGAATAGTGTATACTTTTACGTCATTATTATTTCTCCTCATAAGAAAACTGTAAAAATGACGCCATTTTGACACTATTCTAAAAAACAAATACGCCTTATGTTTGATTTGTTTAAGGATATTAAATCCGAATATAAACGAAACATTAATTTCATCAGCATCAAGATTTCGGAGAACATTTTGCCATCTTCTCCCGAAATAATTACAGGGAATACCATCGTGATTTATTTACCCAGAAACTGAATCACCAGATTTCCCACAGGTATGAAGTAATTTATAAATACATTTAGACTATTTGATGTTATAGAACCGGATTTAACGGACAGATAACAGGATCCAGTGCAAATTCCTATAAAATGAAGTTATCGATCTTTACCAATACACATTTCAATTACATTATGATAAGATTAATGTAAAATAAATTTGATAACGAAATTTCTAAGTGACACCACGCGCTAGCATTAGCTAATTATAAATGACGAGAATGAAACATATTTCGTACAAAATTTGTATGAATTTCAGTTCATTTTTTCTACTTCGTAATATTGTAATAATTGTATCAATATTTTATTTATATTTAAATATATATTTATAATAATTTATGTCATTGTTATAAATGCATTTTTATGAATGTACTTTAGAACAGAACACAAAATAATTGCCAAATGACAATCAATTTTGAGTTCTAATGTTTTAATTTAACAGTTACTTTTCAGTTCTTGATTATCAATCTTTAATGATTGATAATCAAGAAAAGTTTAATAATAAATATTTATAAACTTTAGCTCTAATTTTCTGATTCTCCTTGTTCACTTTATCCCACCTCTCTTCTCTCTTATTCACTCATTTCACAGTATAATTTAATCATCTAAAGCCTGTTTTCCATGAGTGTATCATCTACATTCATTACATCTATACTATACTCTAATTAAACTGGCTCTGAATCTATCTTTCAATATTACCCTATTTAGTCATCTAAGCCAGGGGTGGCCAACAGTTTTTGCCCCCGGGCAGAATTGGAAAGAAAACTTTTTCCACGGGCCGAACTTGAGGCTGCCCTAGGAAGATTCTGAGGTGGTGCGAGATCTCATTGTGGTGTCACACCGTAGAGACTAAATTGTAGATAGAGATTACAGATACATTTTTCACATTATCATGCTTTATCAACACATTATGCTGTACTTACGAGATTTGTAATGGGTATAATCAACAGATAACTCAAGTGCCTAACTCTAAATGCAGTGAGTTGTTGACCTTTTTTTGTTTTAGGCATCAGAATTTTTCATCAAGCTATTCGGACTTCAGTACCTAATATTGAAAGATTGATCATGAGCCACATAAATTCATTAGACGGGCCAGATCTGGCCCATAGCCATATGCTGGCCATGCCTGATCTAAGCTACCTACATCTTAATATGTCCATTTTTTTGTCCCCAACATTCTAATCAATATATCATAGTTAGCCTAATTATATTCTTATAAAATTTCATTTTTATTTGATTAGAACTGTCATATTACAAGGAAAGCCATTAACCAGCTACTAATTTTGTTTTCACTTTTGCAGATAATGAGTTAAATTTAAATATCCTACTTGCCACACCTAAGTCTGACTCATCGCCCTATTTGTAAATAGTATAATGTTATTTTATTTTAACTTTTACTTGATAAAATAATAACATAAATCTTCTGTTCTGTGTGTAGCGTCTTTGCAATCCAAACAATAATTTTAGTAGACGATCAAACAGAAATTAGTTAGAAAAATGTTATGCCAAACACGTTACACCAAATACGATGAAGTTAAAAACATCAATCAGAAACATTATACCTAAACATGCTGTGTGGAAAATTGAACGAATGATAATAAAATACATCATTAGATTTAAACATAAAAAATGGAAGAACTATAATTACCAATTAAAAAAGTTTTACATAAATCTATTCATAATGATAACCCATATAAAGGAATAGCAAATAATTATAAATATAAAAAAGATATGAAACTACACAAGTTATTCACTTACCCAACACCCAAGGAAAAAAATGCTTGGGTAAATAAGTTAATCCTAAATAACTCTAAAGTACTAATACCTACATATGCAAGACATTTCCTAGCATTAGGAATAGAATATAACTTACCCATCAATGATATAACAACAAACATGATAGCCGATATTGACAAAAGTGTAAAAGATTTAACAATTAAAAAAGAAGAAAAAGGAAATTTAATTACAATGATCATCCAAAATTTAACACATGCAAAATAAAACAATAAACATAGAATCAACAAATATAAATTCTTTTTAAAATACAATAAATTTCCTTAAAACAAATAATCTTTCAATAATTAAAGCTGACAAAACCGACCAACTGATAATTATTGATAATAATAATTTAAAACAGAAAACTATTGAACAGATTAATAACATAAATTATATTAAATTAAACAATAACCCATACTAAGATATTAAAAAGGAACTAACTAATATGGCTAAAAACATATACCTAAATAATAACATAAGCAAAAACAATAAAAATTATATCCTTAATTTCAAAAACAATATAACCCCCAAACTAAACATAAGATTAAAAACCCACAAAAATGAAGAAAAATTCAGACCTTTAGTAGATTTTAGATTTTCTATACTTTACAACTTAGAACAATATATCAAGCAACAATTAATAGACATCGATCATTCTAAGTACACCGTAAAAAACGCTGATGATGTTATAAATAGGATACTGAAAATACAGAAAGGAAACACTGATAAACTAATCAGTCTTGATGTAAAAAATATATACCCAAATATAAAATGAAAATTAATAGAGGAAAGCCTAATTATGTTAAATATAGATAAAACTTTAATTAATCTGATACACTTTGCATATACCAGAAACTATTTTAAAGTTAATGCAGACTTCTATAGGCAAGTAGATGGCATCAGTATGGGATCAAAGATGGGGCCAAAATTAGCTGAATTAGCTATGATAAACATAGATGAAAAAATAAATAATATCCCAGGCATAAAACTAGTAATGAGATATGCGGACGGCTACTTAATAATATACAATAATAGAATAACAAATGATAATACTATTCTGAACACCGTTAACAAATTTAACAAAAATATTCAATTCAATATTGAAAAATAAAACAATAATAAAATAAATTACCTTGACATAACAATCATGAATATACTTAATTATTTTTCTTTCATAACATACAAAAAACCATGTAATGTTAATAAAACTATCAACTGCTATTCATATGTTCCAGAATATATAAAAAAGAATATTTATATCATGGAGTTAAAAAACATATATACAAGAATATCAGATAACAAATGGCAAAAAATTAAAACAAAGGAGTTAGAAACTAAATTTTTACTTAATGACTATCCTAAATCGAAATTAAATACATGGCAAAAACAATACTGGGAAAATTAATTTATATTTCGTATTAAATCTAACAAAAAATACAAAACCTTCCCATATATAAAAAACATTTTTGAGGGCTGTAATAAGTTCCTAAAAAAAGACAATATCAGTTTGGCACCATCTTTGACCAACAAAATATCTCATAGTATCCATTATGACATTAATAAACAACATAATAACAAACTAAACATTCTTAAAACTGTAGGAACTGTTTACAAACTTGAATGCAACTGTCAAAATCTGAAAACTTACATCAGCGAAACAGGTCGGCCACTAGAAACAAGAATTAAAGAACATGAAGCTGCCATCCGCCTAAAACATAACACTTCCCCCTGGTACTTCCACACAAGTGACAATAATTGCCAAATTAATAAAAACAATATAAAAGTGTTACATTTAGAAAAAGACCCATATAAATGGAAATTTAAAGAACACATAGAAATCAAAAAACACCCTAAAGGTAACTTAATTAATATTTCAGAAGGCATGTCAATAGACCCCCAATGGAAACACTCTGCTTCCGGATTGGTCTCTGTATTCAGTTGTACTACTGACTTTATATTATTCGCGATGTAAGTTGGCATTGGGATCCATACCTACCCCAACCTTTACTTCCAACCTATGCTATCCCTTACCCCCAACCTATCCCATCCTCTCTTCTATACCCATCCTACTCTCCCTCCCACCCCACCTTCATTAAGTCACCTTCCTTCAGGCTAAGTCGAAAGACAGCCGTCTTCCTTTATAACCAGTAACCAGTAACCAGACTCCCAATGGTATAAACAAATAGAGAGCATCCCCACGCATTAAAGATTGTTTAAAAGCACACCCCCTTGTACGGAATGTTAGGAATGGTTTAAATAACATTACCTGTCGGTATACTGTTACTCTGTGAACACCGGATAACACCAGTTGTCAATTTTTACTCGGTTTCATCTTCATCGGGAATAATACATTTTATCTAAAAATGTAAGTGTTTATAGATATTTTGAAATTAATAATCTATGTTATATATTTTTTCATATAAATGTTGTGTTAAACAGCCACGCCCTTTACTTTTTTCATATTATAGAAAATAGTCATACAACTATGTAATAAAAATATTGTCACACAAGTCTATCCTGTACCATTATATAACATGTAAGTTTTTTATGTTATTGTCATTCCATGTTTTTGTTACGTCCTACTTACCAATGTCGTAAAACTCACCTTGTTTTTTGTAATTTTAACAGCACTGAAAAGGGGTTGGGAATACAAGCCAACCCAAAATGCATCTGAATTAAAAAAGTGTTTTAAATAAACCATAACGTTTTTCTAACTAATTGCTGTTTGATCATCTACCAAAATTATTGTTTGGATTGCAAAGATGCTACACACAGAATTTGAAGATACAGCAACCACGTCTTCTACATTAGGAACATAAATCTTATTTATTTTTTTATCACGCATCACAAATCATAGTAATAAATCTTACTTATTACTGTGATTTATGTTACAAGAACATATAAAAATAAAACCACATAAATTGCAAGTATACCCTATTATTTTTAAATAAACTGAGAAAGCATTTTGTTACAATTATTATTCAATTTTCTTTAGTGAAAATTTTTAAATGCTTTTTATTCTGAAGATAAACAATTTTAGAGACTATTTTTTCTCAGATTAAAAAGTTTGACTTCAAGTGAATGAATATGATTTATTAAATATTAATAAAAACAATCAGCTTTGTAGGTTTAATTTTGTTTTTTTGAAAGAAACTATATATCACACAAAGAAAATAAATTAAAATAATTTATTTGAAGTTTTAAGACTTACCCGAAGCACTGATGTTAATTCTTGTAATTTAGATATTCCAACACTTATTTGACATGTTGTATTAAAATGAAAAGTAACCTATAAAAATAATAAATTAAAATTTTTTATTTACTATTATTCATTTACAATACTATTGAATAAATAAATATCAGTGCTCAAAATATTACAGTTCTTGTTCAAATGAAAATATTACTATAAAATTTATACTTAAGGTTTAAGAGTTTAAATACTAAAATTATAAATTATTATTTTAAATTAAGATTAGTTGACATATCTTTGATATTGAGGTATTCATTTTCCAATATGACATTCCAAATTTATCATGTTTTGTTATTCATCATATACATTTGAATCTTTTACAATACAGCTTATATACATATTTGTACAATTTTGCCATTTTCCTTCTAAATGAGTCTATATTTATTGACAATTAAATTCAAACTTTAAATATGAAAAAGTGGTTAATGAGCAAAAAAAAATTTTTTGAGTTTATATACAGTAGCATCAGGTCAAATTTGACTGATTTGTGATACTCTTCTGACTATACTGTCATAACTTTTTTCTATAAAAAAAATACCATGTTAATTTTTGGAGAATTGAGATACCTCTCTTTCACTCTTGTTCACTTCTTAATTCTTTCATATTTTTATTTGTCATAATTGGGTAAAAATTGCAATACAAAAATTATAGCTAGATACCTGAAATTGATTTCATTGATAATTTCATTTATACTTTTTCTACAAAATCCACCAAAACTTGAATATTGGCATTTTGATACATTAATAATCTTTTCATAGTCCAGTCACATACATAGTTAATGTATCAAGAAACATCTTTCTTGATCTTCAAATTAAATAAATCTTGGCATAATATTGTAAAAAACAAAAATCCATACTGATTTTTCACTTGGCCAAAATCTTTTGTTTCATTAAAAAAATATATTTTTGACCTGTTTTAAGCCTATTTTTAGACCCATATTATACCAATTTTTGACCTTATAAAGAATTCTGTTATGTTTGGAATCTATACTCAATTTTCAATAATTCCATATGAGCTGAATTGGATACAACTTGCAATTATTTCCAACATTAATTAATTGTTTTTGAGAACTTTTCACTTTAAATTTGTCCTTTATTATCTATGAACTGATTTCCACTTGCCTTGTAATATTAACAATAAATTTAAAATAAAAATAAAATCCAATATAATATAGCTATATTGGAGCTCATATTCACTGATTCACTAATATAAAATGTTTAAGGAAAAGCAGACTTATGAAAAAACAAAATGGTACAGTTGAAAAAGAATATCAAAAATTGAAAATATTTAAAAACCAGAAAAATTTGAAATTTAAAAATATAGTTTGTGCACTGCACAATATCAAAGTTACAATAATAATATAAAATATTATTATTGTAACTTTGTATCACACAATTTGATTCTATAATAATATAAACAAATTTTGTGTGACATGGATAATGTACAGTACAATGTGATATTGTCGTATCCTGAATTATGCTAAAAAATTTTGATATCAGAAAAAAAAGATATTCATGGATAAAAAGTACCAAATTAAGTCCAAGGTAGTACAGAATCTAAACCTAACTAATATTATCAACTGATGTATAATAGCAAAATTTACTTTATTAATCATTTAGCATGAAATATTAGAGACTAAACAAGGATTAACATTAAATGCAATTATAACTTTAAATGCATCTATAAGATGCATTTAAAAATGCTAATTAATTAATAAAATTATTTTTTAGGCTGATAGTATTAATCAGGCTTAATTAAAATATTCTGCATAATTAAATTAAATGACATATATTTATGAAAAAAAAAGACAAACAGAAGCAATTTTTAAAGTTTTCTGAAATTATTTTCTAAAATGTATAAGTAACATGATAATATATTATCAGTAATAACTAATAACTAAAATGCACCAAACTGAAACTAAGTTTACACATATACCTGTAAGAATATTTTGAATTATTATTAAATCCAAGAAATACAGTATGAAATTAAAACAATTCACCAATAATAATTGTCAAACAATAATTTTTAAAAAATTACCTTTTTAATACAGTCATTTCTGTTTTTATATAAAACGTTTTCCCATTTTTTCCATTCATTTTCTGGTAATTCTTTAGGATTTGTATTATTTTTAATTTTTTCAAATGTTTCAAGAGTTAACCAAAGTTTTCGTTGCCAACTTAATGCATCTCTAAGACCTATAACAGATATGTATTTTTAGAAATAAATGATGGAACGTAATTTAGAGAGCTAAGACATTATAATGTAAAGAAAAATGCCATTTTATGATAAAACAGAATTTGATATTTTATTCTTATTGATTTTTAAAAACAACGAAAAACAAAAAAAAAAATTAAAAATTACATTTTACTAAACATTTCTGCATACATTTTATGACTTTAACATGATAAATTTAGTTTAATGTATTAAATAAAGAATATTAAAGAAATATATCAACAATAAAAATTATAGCTCTACTGCAGTATTCAAACTTCTTATAATCAAATTTCTACTATAATAAATGATGTTCTTTAGTAATTATCACAATATCCAAATTAAATAATCCCACCATAATGAATTTGTTTGTAAAAAATTTGAAAATTGCACTACTATAAAAACGACAAATAGACAGCAACATAATTTCAGTGTGTTTTCATTTGTTTAGTAGTATTGCATGTATGTATGTATATGTATTATGTATGATTTTTTAGTTAAGTAACTTTTATTATAAAATTGCAGCACAATTTTACAACCTTATTCTTAGCAGTTCACTACAGTAGATTAACTACCTCAATTGTTCATTTTTGTTATTTGTTCATCTTTATACAGTAATATTTTAATATAAAATGCACAGTACATTACAAGATTTTCATTGTGATCTGTTTTATATTTAAAAAATGCAGACCCTATACAATTCCTAATGTGAGATACTACAGAAACATGTTCATTGCATTACTGTTTACCAACACATTCTTTCAAAGTCTCATTAAGTGTTTGTTATGTAAGGTAATTGGAATTTGAAATGTTTAATATCTGATTCCTGATATTCAAATCATTTTTAGGAACACATTAGATTTGTACAACAGAGTAAGGGCTATATCTTAAAATAATATATAAAAATACTAACTTAACATTTTTGCTAAAGAGCAAAACTTTTATGCTCCAAAAATACAGATTAAATTTATTCAAATTTCATAACCTAAATAAAAATTCAAAAAACTCAAAATTGATATAAAAATGCTGAAATACAAAAGTTGAAAATGGTCAGATATCATTAATATAGGACTTTTATAACAAATAAACATTGAATTAGACTATTTAATTTTGATAGTTTGATTTTTGCCTTCTATCTTTTAGCTAATTTCAGTTTTAATATAAATAAAAACTTGTATTAATAATTTATGGTATAATATTGCCCAATTTTTCAAAATTTAAAAAGTTATCGTTGTCTATTAAATATATTGTTTTTGAGGGAATTATATTATATTTGAAAGTTTAATTATATAAGTATTTAGCTGGAAAGAAAATGAATCACATTCTTCTATATTAATATATGGAGAAATTATATCCTTCAATAAATTCAATTTTAAAGAATACTCTAAAACTAAGTTAAAAACATCCTCAAAATTAACTATTACAGTTTTAAATCAGAACTACTGCAATAAAAATGAAAAAGTTATGATAATAATATGTTTTGAATTATCCTTAGTTCAAGTTTAGACAGATGACATTAAAATTATCAAATTATTATAAAATTTTCTTATTAAAACAACAAAAAATAAATTGATTTAAATTCAGTATTCATACTGTATTTAGCACTAAGGTATTCATTATTATTTTAATATAAATTTTCATTCTGTAAAAACATATAATGAACTACATTCAAAAACTTTATATCAAATTTATTATAATTTCTTTCAAATTTAAATATTTCATTTTATAGCATAATTTTATATATCATTTAATAGAGAAAATATTTTCAAAAACTATAAAATGAAATTTAAAAACTAAAGATAAAAAAATAAAATAATCAGTACAATATCAGTATCAGGGTGTATTTTTTATCTTGAGACAATGAAATATCTTAATAAAAAAAAATATATATATATGGTTTGCTGTATATTAGTTAATATGACGATTTTAGTCTCTGTAATCCAAAATTATTCTTGGTAGACCAATCTCACAGCAATTGCTGTGAGATTGGTCTACCAAGAATAATTTTGGATTACAGAGACTAAAATCGTCATATTAACTAATATCTTAATTGGATCTCATTATTTTAGAAAAAGGTATAGACAAAAGTTATAGAGTGTCGAGCGGGCAATCAATTGGTAACCTCAGATGTGACATTAACCTTCAAGGTCATTTGGAGGTCAAGTCTGTTTTTTTCAATGGGAACACACATTTTTGACCCTGGAAATGGAAAGAACAGGAAATTTTACATTCAGATATACCCTTGATCTTAAGGTCTAGGTCAAAGGTCAAGTTTATTTTAAAGTTAAAATTAAAAGCTTTTACTAATGGGAAACCATACTTTTTATTACTGGAATAGACAGGGAGGTAAAATTTACATTTTTTCACTAACTTATTACTTTCATCTTTAAAAGCATTCACTACTTTTAGCATTACCCAGGAGTAACAATGTGGACATAGTAGTTTTCTGCACCCTTTAAGGTGCTTATTTTCAGTTAGTCACCTTGCCTTTCACTATCAGGGTGCATGTTTTCGGTGAGTCCTTCTCACCATTGTTGAAATATTGGTTTTGGGGAAAATTTTATAACAAATGTTCAAAATGATGCTTTTCCACTTTGATGCATTTGTAGAGCTGCGCTTAAAATTATCAAGTTTGAGATGACCTTGAGGTCAAATTTGGAGTACTCAAGGTCATAGCTGATTGTGAAATTTTCCACTCTTTCCATGTAAATGTAAATTTTACCTCTCTGTCTATTCCAGTAATAAAAAGTATGGTTTCCCATTAGTACAGTGGTACCTCAGGATACGAACGCCCCAGCATACGAAATTTTCAGGATACGACATGAAATTCGAACATATTTTTGCTCCACGATACGAACAAAAACTCATCATACGACATTATATTAGTTCGCAGCGCCATTTTTTGTTCACTTCTGTTCATTGGTCTCAGTCCGCGTGTTTGCTTCGTCGTGGAAGGATCTAGCTCGATAATGGAAATCTTGAGGTATTATCAAAAAGTGACTGATTTTATTGAAAAGAAACATCCCGAAAAGGATCACACTGGCCGTATTGCTGCTCGGAGTAATGACATTTGCCTAAGTAATTTTAGAAACATTTTAATTAAAAAGTAGGCAAAGCCAAACTTCTTTGGATAGATATTTTATCAGTATCCAGTGAAAGTGCTGGTGGAAGTGAAGGAAAGAAAGCAAAAAGCAGTGAATAAAAATTTTAAAAATATATATCTATATAAAACAATGCTAATTTTTTTTATCTTTTCTAAGTTATTTTTAAGTTATTGTTTTAAGTATTATTATGTTATGTAAGTTAAGTTTTAGTATCATTTCTCTTCTCCCTGTCTNTTAAAATAATCTTGACCTTTGACCTAGACCTTAAGATCAAGGGTATATCTGAATGTAAAATTTCCTGCTCTTTCCATTTCCAAGGTCAAAAACATGTGTTCCCATTGAAAAAAAAGACTTGATCTCCAAATGACCTTGAAGGTCAAGGTTACGTCTGAGGTCACCAACTGATTGCCTCACGACACCCTACAACTTTTGCCTGTACCTTTTTCTAAAATAATGAGAACAAATTAAGATATTTCATTGTCTCAAAATAAAAAATACCCTGTATATTAAATATTTATAATATTCTATAATTATATAGTTTATTTTAAATAGGAAAAAATTGTTTGTTTCTTCTCTCATTATCTAATAATAAAGTTTTTAAAAATTTTTCACCCGCCTTTATCATCCCATTTACGATTAGTTTCAGGGGCTACAAATGACAACATGCATAGTCGAGTTGTGTCAACACTATGGTGTTCTATAACATCCTAAAATAAAAATTTTAATTTCATTTTTCATTACAACAAGAAGAGGGAAAAAATAAAAAATTAAACTTACATTTGGTGAAACACCATTAAATTTTGATTTGCTCATTTTTTCCCATTCAACTTGTACAAGCTTTCCAGTTGCTTTTTCTCTCACAACTGAATCTATTAAATTTATTATAAATTTTAAAATACAGTATAATAAAAAAACTATATGTAATAAAAACAGGAATTTTTTTTATACCTGCAATATCAATCTCATCTGGTTTTAGGTACTTTCCAGTTTCTTTAACAAAATATGTTTTACCCTTTACATAACCTTGACATAAAACACGATGAAATGGTTCTTTTTCTTTTAACAATCCCAAACTATGAAGAAAATGACTAAAAAATCTTGCATAATAGAGATGAACATCAGCTGAAAATATATTTATTTTTATACAATTAAATTTTATAAAAATATAAAATTCATAAAATAATATACAGCTCTATGATATATATTCTAATATAACATTTTACAATAACATATTTTATTACTTTGTATTTTACAGATAATGTTATAAAATTGAACTTAGATATATATTTCTTACCATGTTCAATTCCACCAATATATAAATCTATAGGTAACAGGGAATTAACAACTTCACTATTAAAAGGTTCTTTATTATTCTGAGGATCAAGAAATCTTAAAAAGTACCATGCACTGTCTACAAAGGTATCCATTGTATCAGTTTCCCTTTTTGCTGGTTTTCCACATCTAAGTAAAAAAAGTGCAATATAAAAAATAAAAAATGTTAGTTGGAACAAATGAGAGATGGCAATAGAATAAGAATTTTAGTTAATGAATTTTATTGTATATGTGATATTTGAGATCATAATATATTTTTAAAAAGTATAAAAACAACAGAAATATACAAAAAACTATGTTTTCATTTTCCTTTTCTGTCATTTCAACACACTTGTCACAGTCCAAAACATATTATATATTACTCGCCAAAACTTATATTTTGGTAATTGAAATATGTATTATGATTATATTATCAAAGTTATATTTTGATATGAAATATGAATATGTCAATGCATATGAAAAATACAAAATTTCAATATCTAAATGTGTATGTATTGTAATATATTAATTTACTTGGGACATTCAACATTAATCCAATCTTCAACAGCTGCAAGTGGAGAAATATTTGTTTGCAGAGTTTCCAAAAATGGAAGTGTAACAGGTAAATCATCATATGGAACAGGAACAATCTGAAAAATCAGTTATTTAATACAGATATAAAAATACACTGAACAATTTATATTTATATATGATTTAGCTGTTATCATAAATGATATGAAATAAATATATTTCACTCCATTAAAAAAATTGCATTCAATTGTGTTATTTCATATATTTTATTAATTAAAAAAATTAGAATTTATAAAAATTCATTAAATAGAAAAATATAAAACTAATAAATTTAAACCTATTCTTTTAATGCTGATATTAGAAGATTAACTCCATTTTCTTACACTATAATATTTATGAAAACTTTATTTTTTATACAAATTTTACAATAGCTAATAATTTTTCTTAAATAATTTCAGTAGTACACAACACAAATGATGAAGTGAAATATATTTCATACTTACATTGCATGTCGAACAATGAATGATAGGAATTGGAGTACCCCAATATCGCTGCCTGGAAATCAACCAGTCTCTTAATTTTGCACTGGACTGATAACCACCTATTCCCTTTTCTTGAGCAGTCTGGCAAATTTTTTTCCTTGCATGTTCCAAATCCATGCCAGTGAACTGTAAAAATTTAGTTATGTTTTGTAAAAACAAAACAACATTAATGTTATTATTTTTAAATATTTATTGATGATTAAATATCAATCAATTATATATTGGCATAATTAACAATATATCTACTGCTTGCTCAAAACTTTCATTCAATAATTTTAAAACAAATTAAAAATTAATTTTTGTCCAGAGAAGTCTATATTCATTTATTAATTTAAATTAAATTAAATTTTAATTACCATAAAACCTGTTTTGGACAGGTTTTATGGTAATTATGTGAATAAAATGGAAACCTGCCCAAACAGGAAAAGTTCTTTGGAATGGAGCAACTTTCTTATGTCAAAAAACCTGTTCAAAACAGAAACCTGCCAAACCAATAAAATATTCCATACCATGCAATTCCAGTTTACATAAATTTTACTGTATTAATCTACAGCAAAAGATTGTAGTGGTCTAACTACCTACCTTTATGTCATATTACATATTTGAATTGTTGATAATTAGTACAATTATAGTCTGTGAATAATCTAACCTTAGATTTTTGGCAATTAAAAATTTCAAATTCTTAAATTAAAACTTGTTTTTTAACTAAAGTAAAAAGGAGAGTGGCCTCAAATAGTACTGAGAAAAAAAATAAAAAAGAAAGAGATGGCAACTGTTGATCTCTCTGACCAAAACTCTCACCACCTCAGGATGAAAGAAGAAACTGAAGCAAAATATGAAGAATTAAAATACTATATTAAATTTAAAAAAAAAACTTCTTTAAATGTATATTCTGTTTATAATTTTTAAACAAAACATTTTCATTAAAAATTGAACTAAAAGCTATTATACCTTTATCACTAAAATAAAACTTGTTATATGTTATAAAGATTTGTTGATAAATCTAGTTAGAATTTTAATTAAATTAAAAATAATGTTATCTTAATAATGGGATTATTACAGATTAGAATCTTACAAATGTTAGAAATACTGGATGTGATGCTCATTTTACTAAAAGTTAAATAAAATCACTTACTCAGACTCAGCTTCTTAAGCAATATACTAGATACATCCAACACACCTTATTGCTGAGAACATATATTTATTTCACAAAACTAACATTTTTGGCTCAATTTATGGGCCATCTTCAGGTTACCGTTGTTCGACTCTAACACAAAATCAAACACGTACAAAATTAAACCAAATTAGAACATATGTTTAAATTAAAGTAATAGAATAAGCATAACCAAAATAAAACAATAAATAACAAAAAACCAAAATAACACAAAAAATGAAAATAAAATATGGTGATTGGCCGTAAACACTAAGGAACAATTCCTTATACATTAACCCAGATACCTATTGAGTCACAGCAGACACATTATTATACGTGTTACTTCTTATTATATATTTCCAGGATGACGGTAACACTGTCGCATCCTTATAATTTAAACATATGTCAGCCAAACTCGCTCTGTAAATTTCGCATTTCTCAGTTATGGATGACAGCATTGGCGAGCGTACTTTTGCAAGAATTTTGGCATCCTCCCATTTAACAACCGAACCATCCGCTTGCGCCATTTTGGATAATGTTGTTGCACATTTGTTTTTTGCGACATCGTATCGTTAATGGACAATGAGATTGGGACCGTTATGGATTTCGAGAGTATGTTTCCATCAATAAATCTTACCTCATGTTTTGAAGAGTTAGTGAACATGTTATGTGGGTTGCACCCAAAAGCATACGAACACAAGAAAGATTTAGAGATAATGGTTGATCTGATATGCTTTCAGTCGTTTTTCATTTTCCAAGGTAAAGTTTATAAGCAGTTAAGGGGAGTCCCGATGGGCAGCCCGATGTCTGGCCTGCTCTGTGAGTTGGTGGTGAGAAAAATAGAACGCATGACGCTTATCAACTATAATGAATACATAATCATGTATAAAAGATATGTAGATGATGTTCTAATTATTTGGAAGAATGACGCAATGATAAAACGATTCTTATGCCAAGTGAACTCTAACCAACATGGCTTAAAACTTAACCTGGAGCAAATTAGTAACAAGGAGCTGCACTTNAAACCTGCCCAAACAGGAAAAGTTCTTTGGAATGGAGCAACTTTCTTATGTCAAAAAACCTGTTCAAAACAGAAACCTGCCAAACCAATAAAATATTCCATACCATGCAATTCCAGTTTACATAAATTTTACTGTATTAATCTACAGCAAAAGACTGTAGTGGTCTAACTACCTACCTTTATGTCATATTACATATTTGAATTGTTGATAATTAGTACAATTATAGTCTGTGAATAATCTAACCTTAGATTTTTGGCAATTAAAAATTTCAAATTCTTAAATTAAAACTTGTTTTTTAACTAAAGTAAAAAGGAGAGTGGCCTCAAATAGTACTGAGAAAAAAAATAAAAAAGAAAGAGATGGCAACTGTTGATCTCTCTGACCAAAACTCTCACCACCTCAGGATGAAAGAAGAAACTGAAGCAAAATATGAAGAATTAAAATACTATATTAAATTTAAAAAAAAAACTTCTTTAAATGTATATTCTGTTTATAATTTTTAAACAAAACATTTTCATTAAAAATTGAACTAAAAGCTATTATACCTTTATCACTAAAATAAAACTTGTTATATGTTATAAAGATTTGTTGATAAATCTAGTTAGAATTTTAATTAAATTAAAAATAATGTTATCTTAATAATGGGATTATTACAGATTAGAATCTTACAAATGTTAGAAATACTGGATGTGATGCTCATTTTACTAAAAGTTAAATAAAATCACTTACTCAGACTCAGCTTCTTAAGCAATATACTAGATACATCCAACACACCTTATTGCTGAGAACATATATTTATTTCACAAAACTAACATTTTTGGCTCAATTTATGGGCCATCTTCAGGTTACCGTTGTTCGACTCTAACACAAAATCAAACACGTACAAAATTAAACCAAATTAGAACATATGTTTAAATTAAAGTAATAGAATAAGCATAACCAAAATAAAACAATAAATAATAAAAAACCAAAATAAAACAATAAATAATAAAAAACCAAAATAACACAAAAAATGAAAATAAAATATGGTGATTGGCCGTAAACACTAAGGAACAATTCCTTATACATTAACCCAGATACCTATTGAGTCACGGCAGACACATTATTATACGTGTTACTTCTTATTATATATTTCCAGGATGACGGTAACACTGTCGCATCCTTATAATTTAAACATCTGTCAGCCAAACTCGCTCTGTAAATTTCGCATTTCTCAGTTATGGATGACAGCATTGGCGAGCGTACTTTTGCAAGAATTTTGGCATCCTCCCATTTAACAACTGAACCATCCGCTTGCGCCATTTTGGATAATGTTGTTGCACATTTGTTTTTTGCGACATCGTATCGTTAATGGACAATGAGATTGGGACCGTTATGGATTTCGAGAGTATGTTTCCATCAATAAATCTTACCTCATGTTTTGAAGAGTTAGTGAACATGTATGTTATGTGGGTTGCACCCAAAAGCATACGAACACAAGAAAGATTTAGAGATAATGGTTGACCTGATATGCTTTCAGTCATTTTTCAGTTTCCAAGGTAAAGTTTATAAGCAGTTAAGAGGAGTCCCGATGTGCAGCCCGATGTCTGGCCTGCTCTGTGAGTTGGTGGTGAGAAAAATGGAATGCATGACGCTTATTAACTATAATGAATACATAATCTTGTACAAAAGATATGTAGATGATGTTCTAATTATTTGGAAGAATGAAGCAATGATACAACGATTCTTAGGCCAAGTGAACTCTAACCAACATGGCTTAAAACTTAACCTGGAGCAAATTAGTAACAAGGAGCTACACTTCTTGGATGTTAGCATTGAATTTAAGAATGGAACTTTATGCACGAAGGTGTACATCAAGCCCACGCATGATCCGATGTATATTCCAGCAAATTCTAATGACCCAATGGTTTATAAACTATCCGCATTTAGGGCGCTAATCAGAAGAGCGTTTCTGTATTGCTCAAATGTAATGGACACGATGGATGAGCTGAGTAGGATCAAAAAGGTTGCAAAAGAGTTAGGGTTTGAAACAAGATCTATAGAGCGTTTAATAGCAGCGTACGTAAAGCCTAGGAGCAGCTCTAAGAAGAAACCAGAGGCTGGGAGTAACTTCGCAAAGTTTACGTATAATAAATGTCTCTTCCCGATTATGAAGCAAATAGCGAGGCACAAAAATGCCAGTATTATATGCAAAAGGGCCCCCACAGTGTATAGGTTGATTAGAAATGACAAAGAAAGAATTGATGATAATGAACAGGCAGGAGTATATGCAATTCCCTATAAAAATGACCAGTTGGGAATCAATAAGGACTATGTAGGGGTCACTAATAGAAACCTTGGGGTGAGGATTAAGGAGCACCGATACGATGTCGCAAAAAACAAGTGTACAACAGCATTATCCAAAATGGCGCAAGCAGATGGTTCGGTTGTTAAATGGGAGGATGCCAAAATTCTTACAAAAGTACGCTCGCCAACGTTGTCATCCATAACTGAGAAATGCGAAATTTACAGAGCGAGTTTGGCTGACAGATGTTTAAATTATAAAGATGCGACGGTATTACCGTCATCCTGGAAATACATAATAAGAAGTAACACGCGTAATAATGCGTCTGCCGTGACTCAATAGATATCTGGGTTGATGTATAAGGAATTGTTCCTTAGTGTTTGCGGCCAATCACCGTATTTTATTTTTTATTTTTTTGTGTTATTTTGGTTTTTTATTATTTATTGTTTTAGTTTGGTTATGCTTATTCTATTGGTTTAATTTAAACGTATGTTCTAATTTGGTTTAATTTTGAACGTGTTCGATTTTGTGTTAGAGTCGAACAACGGTAACCTGAAGATGGCCCATAAATTGAGCCGAAAACGTTAGTTTTGTGTAATAAATATATGTTCTCAGCAATAAGGTGTGTTGGATGTATCTAATTAAATAAAATATTTTTTTTTTCTTTTTAAATAGGAAAAAACAAGTAAAAAAATTTGGACTTTATTTCAACTAACATCCTTAATTTAGAAATTTAAACTACATAAAACATACATAATATTTAAACATATTTAATAATAATTAATTATTAAATATTAATATAATATTTAAACACAAACTAAATCGAACAACATTAATTGAATTTGTAATTCTGTAGAAAATATTTTTGTTACATTCAATTATGTTATTCAATTATTGCTAATATTTTTACAATAAGAAATGTCGTTATAGAAGAAATTTTGTAATATATAGATATAATTTTATTATATACAAGGTGTCCCAAAAGTTTCCATACATACAAAGGTGAAATGTAACTTTATTCACAAAGCATTAAAATGTCAGCATTAAGATTTGTGTCAGTGGATTGACAAAGTAAGACAATGGAACACATGGGTAATCTGTCAATACGGTAACTTCTAGCAAGACTTCCTATGTGGAAACTGGATTATGTTTAGGTGTTAGACACATGAAGAAAATCAAGAACACTGCATGGTGACCAGCCCATTGGTCAGGCACAAACCAATGACCAACTACCAGTGTTCAATGGTTTTATTTATTTGGCCACTGGTAGGCATGATTTGTGTCAACATATGGAGACTTTTGGGACCCCCTGTATAGATATAATTTATGAACTTCCATTAAAGTACTTTTTATATTGAATAAGATTACCTACCAAGCTTTGGAATTATTTGAGTGATACTAAATAGTAGCATAAAAAAAATTAATGAAAACATAAATGAAGAAAAAAAAAAAAATGTATTTTATTGTTATATCATAAATTTAGCATTTATTTCCAAATGGACATGAACACCAAATTCATGATATTTGCACTAATGTCAAAATATTATTCATTGCAAGCAGTACTGTTTATGTATTAAGTTTGTGTCATTTGGCCCATACACAATAGGAAAAATAGCCTCTAATTCATGTTTGTTTACAAATGGATATACAGTGGTACCTCAGGATACGAAATTAATCCGTTCCGAAACTGAGATCGTATCATGAAAATGTCGTAAGGTGGATCATCTTTTCCCATACGATTACATGTAAAACCAAATAATTCGTTCCAACGCGAAAAACATACTCAAATTAAAGCCAAGTAATACATTTAAAAAAATAACTGTAGTAAGAAAAACAAATGAAAAATGCGAACTAATGTAACGTCGTATGGTGAGTTTTTGTTCGTATCGTGGAGCAAAAATATGTTCGAATTTCATGTCGTATCCTGAAAATTTCGTATGCTGGGGCATTCGTAACCTGAGGTACCACTGTATATTCTTTCTACTGTAGTTCCTTATTTCTGTATGAACTTATGTTCATATGGAAATAAACTCCTCATATAATGACTGCAATCTCTTAAGTTTTTGAGCTGCTATTTGAAAAATTGTAGACCTATAAATTCCCACTGTCATCACTCTATCTTTCCTTAATCTTGAGAATGGAGTTAGATAGATGAAAGATAAGACCAGATATGAAAACCTTAGAAGCAGGAGGCCCTGATTAACTATGTATAAACTTCTGATGCAATCTGGAAGTCATATTAATTCAATTCAAAAATTTTCCCCTGAAAGTAGTTAATAGATGACCAGCAAAAGCCTGTACATCATACTTTTCCTTTAACAATATGTTAAAGGAAAAGTATGATGTACAGGAGCAAGACACTACAGTACTAATTTGAGATAGAGAGCAGAATTGCAGCATGGCATTGTGACAATGTCACAATAAATAATTGCTCATTATTTTAATTAATTTCATTAAATTAAAATAAACTTTTTTATAACAATGTTTGTAACATTTTAATACAGTTGTAAATTAAGACATGCATTATTACTATATATATATAATGAAATACAGGAACTATTTGATGTCCATTATTAATAAAGTGTTTAAATATTTATTTATGAATGTTTGATTTTTAAAATAGATAAATTATACTTGATATAGCAATTAGTATCTTTCTGCATAAACTATAGTGCTTAGCTACCATAATTTATGGTATTTATTAATTTTACAATTTTTTCCTAGTTTTCAGAGATCCTTGAATAGTAGCCACAGCTACTATTCAAGGATCTCTGAAAACTAAGAATGAAATAAAACTTGACATAATTTTGCTTTATATATATTCCTTAAGCTTTAAGAATGAGATATGGTTAACTATTTGAAGGCAGTTATACCAATTGTTTCATAATTTATTTGTATTATAACCAGTATCTAGCCCGATGACATACAGCTTTGGTTGGCTTGTAGTTTTATAATGTATTGGGTTTCAGTGTTGTTGTTAGTTATTATTTAAATAAAACCAGTAATTAAAAAAAATAATAAATAAATGTAAATTACATGTTTTTGAAAATGAAAGCTATGCTTTTTTGTTTTACTTATTTTAATTCTCTTTATTCAGTTTATAGAAATATTGTATAGATGTAAAAATGTCTTATGACACTGCAAATGAAATAATAGTATTCATATTATTTTATATATATTATATAAATAAAAACATTTAAATTAAATTCACAAATTTGTCAAAGGAACTTATTTAATTTTATAATACAAAACTGAAATATTAAATTATTATTTCTTTATATGAATTCAAACTGAATTCAAAGATAAATAATAAAATAAGGTTTTATTCAGTATTACCTCTCCAGAGTTTATTAATGTTCCAGATGTTATATCAACAACTTTAATCTTTTTTAAAGTAAACTGATCTGCAAACAATTGATCTTCCATAACTTCACCAGGAATACCTAAAATATTTTTATATTAATTAAAAATTTCAATATTAACAATCACTATACTGTCCAATGCACAAAAAAAATTAGTACAATTTAAGATTAAGTGTAAACAATTATGTTAGATTTATACATCATATTTATTTCATGTAATATTAAACACTTATGTTAACCAATAATTTAAACATTTCTTTGTTAAAAACTAAGGAGAAAAAAGGAAAAATCCAATAATGTCAGGTGTTGAAGTTTCCCCACCACAGAGAACAGACAAGCAGCAAATTTAAATGTGTTCGAGCATTTTAAAGAGGATTAAGATATCAACGACCTGGCACCTACTATATATGATTTCATTAAAAATGACAAAGAACCCTTCCATAAAGAGCTTCAAAGTATAATATATAGGATACCTGTCATGAACAAGGGTAACAACAATACAGTCTTTTATCAGGGGAACACTTAATGTATCCTTGCAAGCAGATTAAAGTAACATGAGGATGACTCAAAGAAAGGGAGAGTATCAACAAGCCTAGCAAAGAAGATACTGACCAACTGGTATGCCAAGCTATTATCCTCATATTGAACAGAAGGTTTCTCCCTATCAGAAAGACAGAAGAACTTTCTATACTGATGTCCATCCTCCCTCTGCTAAGATGAAAAGGAAGGACAAGAGGTGTGATTACTTTCATCACTTCATCCACAGTATCACACTTGACTACTAGCCATAATATACTTTCATCCTTTTATAAATTTTTAATAAAGACAAAAAATACTCTTAAGAATACTGTATGATGTTGTATTGAATTATTTTGGTTTATTCGACCTCGTTTTTCCTTGTTCTATGTTTTTATTGTATTTTAGTTTATTCTGTATCATTATTATTGCTTATTTTATTTTATTTTTATATTTACTATTTCACTCTATATTGCTGTTACAAAAACATTAAATTTTAAATGTTGTAAGGTCATTCAATGTTTTTAAATCAAACAAAAATTCTGTTTCATCTTTAAAAAACTGTTAAAAAATTCTAATTCTTCCAGAATGCTCAATGGAAATTTATAGGTTTCTCATTTGAAAATTTTGGTCTGATAATAGGATGAAGAAGTTCCAAAAAAAAAAACACTTGACTTCTATTAATCTTAGCAGTTTTATTTTCTTCTAATCTTATATGAAGTCAACATACTTAAAAACTTGCCATTAAGGACTAAAATTTAGTTTAATAAAAATTTATTAATTTTCTTAACAACTAAAATAAAAATTAACAAATACAAATTTATATATACATATATATTGCATATTCATGTGTGCACACAGTACTGTATGTACGTCACATATGTGACAGATGGTAGTTTTTGGCCATTATCTTTATTCTTCCAATCTATATTTTCCACATATCAATTTAATTTTTATTTTTTATTTTTTAGGAATAAAATGTTACAAAAAAAAGCTATAATATTTATAATAAAATAACACCAAAAATGAAAAACCTTTCAGCAATAAAATAAAATTTTTCATCTGCTTAATGTGATGATTAGCTAAACTCTTTCTAATATATCCAAGATAACTTACATTTCAATGTAACCAATATGTCTTGATTTTGAATGCATTTAATCTGACAACATATTGCTAAATAGAAATTGAGAATAGTATGCCAAAATGATAACATAATGATTCTCACTTTTTTCTGCATCTGATTTAACAGAAAAAAATAAACATTTCTCAATTCAATTTCCTGCAATTTTTCCATTTTCAATTTCTTCAACAACTTCCTGCCTATAGTAGTTTTCCTCAAGTAAAACTAGAATTTTCTCATTGAAAACTAAATTCATTTTTCAATAAGCAAAAGAAAATAATAAATTTTTAAGTAGACTGAAGTCAAAAAATAAGACCTTTGATTTGATTCTGCATTCTTTATAAACAGTAATTAAAGTAGAAAATACAAAACATCTTCACCTCCAACCACCAGGAACTAACAAACAAGGTTTGTTAGTTCCTGATGGTTTTCATATAAATTTTAATTAAAGTAGAAAATACAAAACATCTTCACTTCCAACCACCAGGAACTAACAAACCTTGTTTGTTAGTTCCTGGTGGTTTTCATATAAATTTTAAGTATATTTTCTATTTTTTGTATTTGCTATATTTTGTAAATACACTGTCTGCCATTTTAAATCAAGTAATTTAGGTCCTTAGAAAATATCTTTAAAATTAAGTGGTTATTAATCACAACTATTAAAAATTATTTAAATAAAATTTCATACATACAATAATAAAATAAGATGATTTATGTTACAATTTGATATTTTAACTGCGTGTTTTAAACAATTTTTTATGTCAAAGAAAATATGTTAAGAGATACATTAAACATTTGGAAGTTATTTCTTGTGATTTCCAAGAAACAAACTATTTGAACCCAGGATAATCCAAGGTTTTTGTTTTGAAATTTTCTGGTAGCATTTAACTAAAATGATAATTTTTATTTATATATTTTTAAATAAGTATGATCAAATAAAAGGGAGTAGAATTAAATAAAACAGAGTATAAATTAAATTTTCACAAATTAATATTGATTTACAAAAGCAATTTAAATTATCTTATATAAAAAAATATTCTTACAAGGAGAGCCTACGGCTTTGGGGTAACGGATTTTGATGATCTTTGGTGTACAGGTAGTACACCATGTGAGTGTACTACCTGTAAAATACTAAAGTGCAATACTCAAATATAATCGAGAAAATCGAACTTAAAGTTTTGTTAGCACTTTATATATAAATTATACGTATTTCTATTCGAGCGTCCTGTGGCAGAGTGGTAACGAGTCTGATTCATAAGCTTGAGTTCTCGGGTTCGATTCTCGCGTAAAATTTTTTTTTTAATTCATAAATACTTATAATGTATTTATTTATTTACTCATTCATTTATTTCTTATTATTTATTTATTTTAATTTAATTTCTACTATTCCAAGTCTAATATTTTTATACTTTTGTTGACAATAACGGCGCATTCTTGACACCTATGTGTCAACTTTCCCATCTAATTGTTATCACTAAAGGTGAACGATCTAATTCTCACTAGGAGCATTTTTTCTATCGGATTTTTTTTTCACTCACTCTTTAACAGTTCGTTTCTAAATTTCGACACGAATAGATGTATTTGTGTAGTAAAACTTATTTTGAAAAATTATTTTATAATCAAAAAATGTCATCAAGAGAAGCAAGTTCTTCACCAAAGATCATCAAAATCCGTTACCCCAAAGCCGTAGGCTCTCCTTGTTAGTTTATCAAATAAAATAATTTTTGTGATTGTTTTGGATTTGAACTTGGCTTAATAAGTGATGAAACTTGATGAGTGCAAGGCTGAATCATCCTTGAATTCATCAAGTTTCAAAACACTGATTCTTCCCTATCCTACTATGTAACTATGATAAGATTAATCAAAATTCAAATTTTATTGTAACTCACCAATTTGACAATTCCCAGCAAGTGGATATTCAGACTTATTAGATACAAATACTGGTAAACTTTCTCCAGTAAACGGATGAATTGCATTAATTAAAAGCTGATATTCAGATGAAGTTTTTGCTGATTTATCAATATATTCTTTGGAATTAAGGTGATGTTCTGAGGAAACTGTTATATAACTTACTCCATATAATAATTCTGGCCTTTCTGTCCAAACAGTTAAGAAATCATTTAACTTTTTTCCTTTAAATGTCACTGCAAAATCAAATATAAACCCTTTACATTCACCAATCCAATTTCTTTGAATTTTTTTCAAACGGCTCCAATGTATAGAATCAAGACAATCTAAATTATCGTAGAGAGACTAAGAAAAAATTTTAAATATTTAATTTACTTTTTTCAAATACATATATTATTATAAATTAATTAAAATTTACTTTACTTTGGAAAATGCAGTAGTTCGAAGAAACCATTGCCTGAGATATCTTTTTTCAACTTTTGCTCCAGATCGCCATGATAAACCATTTTCATCAATCTGCTCATCAGCTAAGACAGTTTGATCTAATGGATCCCAGTTTACTAATGCCTAGTTTAAAAAAATAACATTACAATTTACAAATATTATTTTAACAGAAAGTCAAATTTAATATTTAATATATATTTTGTTGCATTGTTATTATCTAAATTTTGTCTAACTTTATTATCAAAAGTATCAAATCAATAATAAATATAAGCTAACATTTCTTTAATATATATTAGCCTATATTTTAATTTAAAAATATCAAAGTTCCTACAAATAAACAATTTAAAAATTGTAACTATTCTTGTAAGATTATTATTTTTAATCATTAATATTTATTTAGAATTAAAATTATTTCTTTGTTTTTTCTAAAAAATAAAATTGATAAAGTAAAATAAAAATATCATTATTAGTAGTAGTATTTTCTCACAGTCATTATGAAAACATGAAAGAAAGATAAATTATGAAAAATAAAAGAAATAGCTACTTAAAAGTTATTTATTAGAAGATCAAGAAAAACATATAAATTTTTCTTCTACTTTATTTGAAGAAAAAAAAAATGCAACTTATAAATCAAATTTATTTGATAACTTAATGAAATGTAATCATTAAAAAGTTTTTGTTGTAAGATTAATTAATTAATTTGTTGTAAGATTAATTAATTAATCATTCAAGATAAAATGATTAATTAATTAATCTTACAACAAATTAATATAGTGAATGAATCTTAAATTATTAATATTTAAATATTTTTCAGTTATGGAAATAAAATTTTCATTTAAGACAAGATAGTAAAAATACCACCACACAATAATAATTTATTTAAATTTTTAAAGTATCTTTACTAAAGTTAACAAAGAAAGTTTCTCTATAAATAATTCCAACTTTTATTTTCCTATATAAAATTAATTAGCCTTAAAACAGACTTGTGGATTTATCTAGTTTCTGTGTTATCTCATGCCTCCATTACTGATGATTAGCCAGGATAATCAGGACTATACTGTATTTGACTCATTCAACAAATTAAAAATTTAGACAAAGGCAAGTAATAGCAATTATTTGAAATTATGGGTAAATATCTATGCCCTATTCTAACTAATGTCATACAATTTAATGGAGGTCTAACACATTTTGTTTTTCATTACAAACTAAAAAAAAAAAACTTGTACCTAATGTAATTGTATGGACTTGAAATTGCAAATGAAATTTATTTAATTTCTTGCTGGAAGTAGTTAATAATTAATGACCAATATAAACAACAGGAATCTCATCCATCCATTATCAAAGAGAACTTAAATCCTACATAAGTCACAATCCCTGCTAACTAATCCCTGCCAATTTGTTTATCTTTTTTTAAGGTTAGCTTCAACGTGTAACTTCTATTAAAAAAGATATTCCAAAGATTGTGGGTTATGGATAGCATTAAACACTTTCTACTTTCATACTGAGTTTGGAAGATTTCCTTTAATGACAATTTGTAACATATTTATCCTATTTGAATATACTCAAAAAATTAAGTTGAATCTTCTCTATTTTATCTAAAAAATTTAAGGACCAAATTGGCAATACATATAACTGTGCACAGTGAATAATTTGTAAGCAGTATTTACATTGTTAACGACTTTCGTTTTAACACTCAGTGATATTAAGTTCTTATTAATCTGCACAGCCTGAGAGAGAACTCTATCCATATAATTTTTAAATGTGCTAGACATACCAAATAAATACTCCTAAATATTTATACTTATCCAAAACATCAGTTTGAAGACCCTCCAAAAACCATTCGTTTGTCCCTCAAAGAAAATCATGTCAATAGAAGACCATTATTTTTGATTTATTGATATTCAATCTTAGATCTTTCTTTCTGCAATATTCAGAAAATATGTTAATCTTCTTCCATAAATTAGTTTTTTGTCATCTGCATAGATCAAGAAACTCAGAGAGAAAGGATCAATATTAGTACTATCCAATTCCATTTCCAAAAAGCATTTATGTAAATCAGAACTATACAATATAAACATATATTGGCTTGACAGGTTGTCCTGAGGCAGATAACAAAAAACTAAATAAATCAGTACTTTAACAATGTTGTATAACTACATCAAATCTAATGAATAGTATATAAATAACTAACCACCTTTGCTGATAAATCAATCTGTTTTAATAAGGTAATTTATAAATTTTATTTATAAACATAAATGCATATGACCTAAAATATTAATGACTCAATTCCATATGTAATAAACACTCAAACTTTTATTAAAATATTTTACAATTCAAAACATTAATAAAAGTGAAATCATTATTTTTAATTTTTTAATTAAATTAATTAATAATAAAATAATTTACAAGCCTTTTGTCTATATGCCATTCCTTTATCAAACATTTTCAGAAATAAATACTGAGTCCACTTATAATATGATGGATCACAAGTTGCAAATTCCTGATAAAATAATTGAAATTATTATACAAAATGAAAAATCATTTTATGAATTTTAGAATACTATATGTAAATTAGTTTCCTTTAACTTTGATATTAGAAATACATATCATTAACTTTGAGAATAATATTCTGTAAAAATTTTATTTTATCTTAATGAGCAAATAAAAATTATTTCATATTATAAATTTTTACATTTAAACTACTTGAAAACAATCAAAAACTTAAATTTTGCTAGTTAAACTAAATTTAGAAATTTTTTTCATAATTAATATTAAAAAAAATCAATTTGAACTGTATAATAAATGTTTAAAAATCTATTGATAATGAAAAATAAATCTTCAAAAATATTTTACACTAAAACTTTATATACCGTATTTACTTGCATATAAGACAAGGTTTTTATTCGTTTTTGATTGCTTCAAAAACATAGGTTGTCCTATACATGTGAGCAAAGAATGATTCTTTGTGTTTTTGCAATAAGTTTTGTGAACTCTGTTTGCATTTTTTACTGGATGCTCACTAGGGTTTCTGAAACGGGATTCCGGGATCCCGGTTGTTTTTTTAACCCGGGAAATATCCCGGGAAATTTTTCTTATCCCGGGAAATCCCGCAAATTTCTTAAAAATTCACTTTTTTTCTTATTTTTTGTTAAGGTTGAGGAGTTTTGCAAATAGAAAGCATAATTAACTCATTCACTGCCAGAATACATTTGTATTTATTAATTTTAAACCTACCTATTAGTTTTTTTAAATTTTTGCTCGTTATAGCATGTCACAAATGGTCAATAATCAATATATAGCTTATTTGTGGCATGACTATAAAAATTCTTTACTTGTCGGAACCTGTAATATCTGGAATAATTGTGCTTACGCTGTCTTGAGTTTTAACCATGCCCNAAGTTTAAAATGCGAGTAATTTCTGCAGGTCAATGTGTGAATTTAAGTGCATTTGATATTTTATTTGTGATTAAATGAAATAAAATTAGAATTGTATTAATAAATCTAATTTTCTTTATTTTGATTTTTAAAGTCACACCTCATCCTATATGCGAGATCGTCTTATAAGCAAATAAATACAGTAACTTTAATTTGGAGTGTACTTGGACAATTCTAATTGTTATTCCAATTCTTATATATGAAATCACACAAAGACAGCTTTAAGAGATTACTTTGCTATTTATGAAAAACATTTTCATCACTTTATAATATTAGCAATAGTCTTATTTGATTTAAATGCTATTAATTTTAATAAATCACATATATTCTAATAACACTATTTAAATTTAAATCAAAATAAGGAAAGATTTTGCAAACTGTTCACAAATATATAAAAGCACTGCAAAGTTTGTTTCATGATTTGTAAAGATGTAATGATTTTAATAATAAAAGATTATAATATGTTATAGTATTACTATATTATCCATAGCACTGGTAATTTGCATAGATATAAAAAAAACCTAAATAATTTAATTTACAATCAGTAAATTACAAAAACTAATAGAAATACAATAGAATCTTGTTTTAATGGATCGATCAGGCCACTGAAAATTTCCATTTTTCCAAGAATCCATTATATCAAGAAGAACAGATTACCCAGACACCCCAAAAATATCCATTTATAAAAAGAAATTCCATTTTTAATCCCCTATGCATAAGAAATACATTTACTTGAAATTATTCAGTCTTTTGAAATGTCTATTCTTTATAGAAACACATATAAGATTGTATATTATGCAGTACATGTGTACAACAAAGCTGACAGAAACTATATACATTGTAAGCACAAAAAGAAGCAAATTACATTTGTTCAGTAACATTTCACTTGACTTCACAATTTATTAAAAAAGAACTCATCCATCTTGGTTTGTTTCAATGCCACTTTTCTACCTATTGAATACGACAATAATTCGATGTTAGCAATGTCATGTACAGGTACTGTACAGTATATTATAGCCTGTTGTTTATGTTAAAACTCATCAGAAAAGTCTTCACAAATTGGAAAGACTCAATGGCCTCACTAAATTTTGGAACTACACTTGGACCAGCATTAATGTGTTCACTAGGTGACTCCTCCTCAATCACATCAGCCTGCTGACTCTGTACAATTCTAAAATTATACAGTATATACATTCAGGGGTGTCATTTCCACTATGGAAGGTATGGAAGACTCCATACCTCACATATTTGCAGGTATGGAATTCCATACCTCAGCATATTGAAAAAATTATTTATAATTTAATGCAAGGCAAGCCAAGGCACTTGCTCTCTGTATGAAAACAAATTTTTTCCTTGGATGTTGACCAATCGAATTCTTACATAATCCAAAGTATCAAAATTTTTCTAACTCTAAGCAATGCATCACCATTTTGTGAAAGCAGGACCCTGCATTCACAAAATTCCATACCTCAACTTTTAATTAAAGAACTGACACCCATACATACAGTATCCTAAATGTAAATGTATCATAAAACTCTAAAAATTCTTGGAAATACCCAAATATTAACTAAAAAGTTTAGTTAATAAAGTAAAAGTTAGTTAAAAAACACAAAGTTTACAATAAATGGGGCTAGAAAAATCCATTATTCTAAGTTATGGATCTGCTAAAATGAGGTAAAATTACACTGATTTAGTGAGACCTGGAAAAAAAATTGTTGTTCCATTATCCATTAAAATGAGATTCTACTATATAAATCTTTTACATTTATAATTCTTTATAAGTTATAACTTTCAAGTACAACTGCATTTGAAAATTATAATTTATATTCAAATATTTTATAGATTCTGAATTTGTAATAATAAAATTTAATCAATTTCAACAAGTTTATTTAATTCAAGACAAAACAATTTTGCAATTAGCTATTTATTTATAAAAGTTATTTACCCTATTCCAATCATATGTAATACCCAGCTGTTGTACCTGTTCTTTCATATTTGCAATATTTCTAAATATAAAAATTTTGAAAAGTTAATAAAAATTTCTTAATAACTAAAATTTATTTCTTCAAAGAGACATTAAAATATAATTATTATCAAATTTCTAAATAAATAATTATGTACTTTCTTGTCCAAATTTCTGGTTGCTGATTTCTGTCTTTAGCAGCATTTTCTGCTGGTAAACCAAATGCATCCCATCCCATAGGATGAATTACCTAAAAGTAAAATACATGTTAGCAAAGTATAGATAATTTATCAAAATAAATTGAACCAACTAAAATAATTCTATTACATAAAGTTAAAATAAATTAAAAATAAGAATGTTTTTTTCTTATATTTATAGTTTACTAATTTCAAATTAATAGAAAAAATTTTCAATTATTTATAACAGAATCTGAATTTGGTTATTTTATTCAGTTATTTCCAAACTCTTCTAATCAATAAATTTTATTTTTTATGACAGAAATATGAACAATTTTTGTATTAAGCCAACTTTACAAAAAAGAAAAAAAAATTAATGATCATATCATCAAATGGCAGAAACCAAATTTTCTCCCAGTTATTTTACTATTTTACTTTATTTGGATATGTATTTCTTCGAACAAACATTTCATTGAGGTACAATGGCTTGAAGAAAGAATCAATATTCATTTTTCCACATCAGTTAGAGTTGATAAAACAATGATAAAAGCAACTAGACACATTAGCGATATTGTAGCTGAAGTTTTCATCTCTAAAATGTGAACATCAAATGTCGATTGCCGCTTACAAAATAGTGGTGCTTGACATTTGACGTTCACATTTTAGAGATGAAGACTTCGGCCGCAATCTCATTATTAGCTACTGACCTAGCTACCAAACAGAATCTGAGAATGGAATATGCATAAAACATTACAAATTTAAAATAATTTCAATGGAAATGGTTTGTTTTTAATTTTGAACTAATTATCATATTTAATATTGTAATTCAGTTGTTTCATTATTTCTGTTATTAGAGCTTTTAAAAATAATAACTATTTCATAAAACTATAGATTTCTGAAATAATAAGAAAAATGTTAAAACATGAATTTAGTATTTTTTTCTTATTATTTTAAATATGGTACCAAGTCCAAATGATATTTTTACAGATTTTTAATCAAAAATCTCCCAATCCTATTAACTTCTGGTTTCCAATGCACATGTCAACTGTCTTAACTAATTGTTCAGCATTTTTATAACATAAAAATGCTGAACAATTACAACAACATAATTGTTCAGCATTCTATATTTGTCACATGTCACAAATATAAACAAAGCAATGACTGTAAGAAAAAGTGTAATTTTTTGAGTTGGAGTGAACATTGTTAGTATGATATTGCCAACAATAACAACAACATTAACATCACAGACATTTTAACCAAGATTTAAAGTCAAAAACATATCCCTGATCATGATGTGGGTTTTTCCACTTTAACTCATCTGACTTTGGAGAAGCCAGAAGCAGTACGCTTTGTATTAAATGAGATAATATAATTGTTATTGAATTCACAGTACTCAACTACACTTTGAACTGACTCATGACTTTGAACTACACACAAACTGACTCAGTAAATTGAAATGTCTGTCCATGGGAACACAAGTCTACTTCACATTAACATGGAATTTGCATAACTAATAATGCATAAATAGGGGTGCCACTCAGCTGGCATTGAGTAGTTTGACCAACAATTTTAAACCAAAGTCAGCAGTTGGTAAAAATGTTTAAGTGTCAATATAACAGTTTAAAATATAAACAAAATTATATTTCAATTAAAAAAATATCACATAAAATTATTTTTAATATTCAATAAATTGACTTATAATGAGAAAGGTGTTTTATCATTACAAGTTAATTATGAAAGTTTTTGTTAAGATTTACAGGTGGTGTTGTAATATGTTAAATAGTCAAATGAGATTCTAAGTAAAAATTCAGTACTTTTTTGCACTAAGTCAATTGCTGTTTTGAGTTTTAAAAATTGATTTTTTAAGATGAGCAAATCTTTTCCTCCTTGGAAAAAAACATTCATGCAATTGTACAGTTAAGAAAATCTGGCTTCATGTGAATGTATTCAAAAATTGGTTAACTCATGATGATGATGATATTTGTTTAGCTCATTGCATCATTTGCTGATCATAACTTAGTGTTAAATACAATGGAATTAAAGCACTAACAAGGCATGCTGATTGTGAAAAGCATAAAAAAATGAGTGTATTTTCTCATTTACCTTCCCTCTTTCCTGGTTGGCTAGCAAAGCCAGTTTTCAAAGGTGGCAACCCTAATCATAACAGGGTTTGACTGTATTTCTCTTTTATTGGAGCAGAGCATTAGTGAAGCTTCTTCTACGAGGCTTACAGAATTGTGTTCATTTTCAAAATCTGTTTGATAGATTTTGATTAAACTTTGCCATTTTCCATTGAGATGAGGCATTCAGAAATGTAATGTGGGTCCATTTAAATGTAGAAAACCCAACAAAAATCACTTAATAAATTAATTAATTAACTTTCCTGGCAACATTTAAAATTCTGGTGGTGCTATCTGTTATAATATTTCATTTAAAAAACTGTTTACATTTTTAATTATTATAAAATGGCAAAAAGCTTAATTTTGAAAGTAGAGAAGGATTTTATAAAAAATTGTAAATGCTAATAACAAGTAAAATTATCATTAAGTCCAACCCTACTCAAGATATGACATATGACCACCCTTTATTCTCTCCATCCTATTGACCTAAAACCACCAAAATTTAATAGCATGATATTTCTAATACACAAACCTCCCTGCAAAATTTCAAAAATTTTCAAAAGTACAAGAGTTATTAAGCTTTAAAGAGGGTAAACAAAATCATGCCACATGCAAACACACACACATACACATTAATATCAATACATACAGACACCCCCCGAATGTTTTTGCATTTCTTGACACTTCAAGGTCCCCTAAGTCCAAACATGTAAAAATCTTGGCGGAGTCATTTTTTAACCGATTGCCATACAAGTCGACCCCCTATAACACTGTTGATAATTCCATTTTATATGAATTCCATGTTTTACGAGCCACTTAGATTTTACAAATATGTGAGCCGTTCACAGCCCGGCACATGTATTTGTAAAATCTAAGTGACTCGTACAACATGGAATTCATATAAAACGGAATTACAGTAGAACCTCGAAAACTCGGCCTAATGTGGACCGAAGGGTGGCCGAGTTTGTGAAAATGCCGGGTTATCGGGAATGGGGTTAAAAAAGGATAAGTATGCCTTTTTCCTCAGAAAATACTGTACTGTACTTGTATGTATTGTTTACTTGAGAATATAACAGAGAATAAACTGCCCAAATACCCTTAAACAAAGGAAAAGCACGTCCTTTATGAAGGCATAGAGCCTTTACTACATGAAAATGAAAATTAATGAATACACTGTGTACAGTAATTTATCTGATAAGACAGACCTCAGAAAAATACTTTATGAGAGCTTTTATACTTTTATAAAGCTGTCTATAATGAAAATTAATTAACTAAGGATTTTTTTGCCTTGCCAGGGTGTGGCCGAGTTATCCGGAGTGCCGGGTTATCGAGAGCCGAGTTTTCGAGGTTCTACTGTATCAACAGTGTTATAGGGGGGTCGACTGTATTTTCCCTCTCCTATCTATAACAGAGCCAGAAAAGTGAAAATAGAAGTCCACGACTTTGTTCTCAATATACAAAGGTATTACAGTGACAATGACCATGCTCTCTAATATGATGAGTGCACCTAACAGAAAATAGGCACAAAAAGTTAACAAAACACAAGAACAAAGCACTTGCCATAGATTGCTTTGTTCTTGAATCATCTCTCTGTACCTGGCCAGTACAAGGATTGTCTCCCCCATGGCCTGCAGGTATAAGAATAGCCTCTTTTGTGGCAGCAAGTGCAAAGTTCACCTGTCTGCATCCATCAGGTACCGTACAAGAATTGTCTCTTTCTGTGCCTAACAGGTGCAGGGATTGCTTCTTTCCTTCCAGCTCTGTTTCAATTCTATCGCAATATAACAAAGTCACACAATGTCCAAGTTAAATTACATAATTAATAATTGAAAATTATTAATCATATAGTTTAACTTAGTTATTAATTATTAATTATGTAATTTAACATAATTAAAAATTAATTTACATTAAAAATCATTTAATTTGTTAAACTATATCAAATAATTTGATTTTTGTACCTGTTTACCATTCATGCTGTGAAATCTTGCCAAGGCGTCACCAACTGTATATACTCTAACATGTCCCAGATGTAAATCACCAGATGGATATGGAAACATGGATAATAAATAAAATTTTTCATTCCTTTCCTAATACAAAGGTAAAAAAAAAATATTTTCTTAAATTAATACTTTAGATAGAAAATAGACATTAATTTGGATTTGCACATACACTCATGTTTGTAAAAATTTCACCACCATGAAGGGATCATGCAAATAAACTGAAACTTACAAGAAATGAAAAGCAGGGTATGACATGCAAATGATTAAATATCAGAATGATAGTGCATGTGTGGACTGAGATGCACCCTCTGAACAGTTGTGTTAGTTGTATAAATACAGGATAGTAGCAGAAAGTTTGTAGTAGTGTACCACATAAACATTTACCAGTGGCAGACAACTATCTACCAATCTGGTAAATGTTTCATGAAAAGTCACTTTGCCTTGTCAACGACAAAGAGCACCATATAAGCAGGTTACAGAGTTTGAACATGGGCAAATGATCGGACTACTTGAAGGGGGATTTTCTTATTGCAAAATTGCAGCTTGTGTGTGGAATAATGCCATGACAGTTATATGAGTGTGGAAGCAGTGGATTGAAGAGTACCAAATAAGTTGCAAATCTTGCATTGGAAGAGGAAATGTTATGTCAGCACAGGCAAACAGACACCTCATCCACACTACAATTGCAGATCATATAGCGTCATTTCAATAGTTGGCAGAACATTGAAGCACTGCTACAGGTGTGCCATTGTCTGTGTCCACAGTTTGTTGATGTCTGCCGTGTCAGGGATTGCATGCAAACATTCCTTTGTGCAGGATTCCTAATACAAACCCACAACACTCGAGGCTACAATGGGTTCATCAACAAAACCACTGGTGTGCTGAATTAATTAATTGTCTTTTCTGATAAATCATGCTTCAATTTAGAGTATGATGGCAGAGTATACATTAACCATATTCCACAGTGCATTATACAGCATCTTACTGGGTGATCACAAAGTGTGATGATCTGGGACACTATCAGATATCATGGGACAATCTCAGCTGCTCAAAACTGCAGGTATCTCAACAGCAACAGCTACCTCAGTGAAGTTATGGAGCCTGAAGTTGTACTCTTCCTTCAACGCATTCCTGGAGCTGTATTTCAACAGGACAATGCCCATCTAAATATTGCTAGGAATGTTCTAGACTTCTTCTCAGCACAACAGATATCACTTCTTCCTTGGCCTGCCCATTCACCAGACATGTTGTCTATTAAACATGTCTGGTATTTCATGCGTTGGAAACTTATGGTGATGCTCATCCTGCAGCCAATATGGATGAACTTTGGGTTCAGATAGAAGCAATCTGGAATGCTATTCCTTAGGCAGACATTCAAAACCTGTTTGGTTTGATGCCATGACATGTAGAAACTCTTATTGCTATCAAATACTGATTTTTGGCATGTAATATTGTTTGATAGCTTTGTAAATTTAATCATTTCTTTGTATCACTACAGGTTAAATGAGGAATAAATATCATTCATTTCTGATTCATTTATGATGTGGTAATTTTTACAAATATGAGTTTATATTCTGGAAACATATTTCAATTTCAGTGATCCTAAAAATTCTAACTTCATATGTAATGAAAGATTTGACATTAAAAAAGAAATTGCCATAAAGTTTTGCAAAACATTTTGCCTCAAAAAATAAAATCTATTTTTATTTTTACATTCCATCACAATAAACATACACATCAAAACTGCTTAATGAAGATTCAATTATTAAATTTTCATCCAAGTGCTTTCAGATTTCATTTCACCATCTTCAGAGTTGATTTCTGGTTTGAATATTTCAAATTCCTCTAAATTCAAAATAATCTAAAACATCTACAGAGAAATTCAAAACATTCAAACTAGAAATCAACTCTGAAGAGGGACAAATGAAATATGAAAGCAGTTAGTTGAAATTTAATAAGTGGATCGCCATTAAGCAGTTTTAGTACTACAGGTATACCTTGACTTATGTCGTTTCGAGTTACGGCGTTTGTCAAAAAAAGTATATGGAAAAATAAAAATCAAGTTTAAGTCATTTTATTCGACTTTACATCTGTACGCCACAAATATTGAAGTCATAATATCATTAGAAAAGTGTTTAAAGCACATAAAATCATATTAAAATATATACATTTACAAGTATGTACTGTATTTACAGTACTTGCATTCATAAATTTAGATTACTTTTTTCTGTACTATATTAAAAACTAAAATTTATTTCTAAGCTTAAAATTAACCATAAATTAACCATATATTATTAAAAATGCATTAATAAAATACAGAACCGGGAATGGTAATTTATGGTTTAGCCTAGTGACAAGTAGATTTGGAGACAAGTAAATTCAATTTACATTGTTTTTCGACTTACGTCGCCTCTCCTGGAACCAATTACCGATGTAAGGCGAGGTATACCTGTATAATTTTACTGTTACACCATAAATATTAAAATTTTATATTTCATAATTAACGAATACTCATAAAAAGGTATGCCTATTTACTTTTATTTGGATAAAATGTTCATAGTAAAATTCTTAAATATAAAAAAATTTAAATTTGATAGAAATTATGATTATAATTCATTTGCCACTTGTTATAAAACACAGTTTACCTAGTGTAGAGTCATCATAAATGTACTATTCTCTTAAATTTTGTTTTGTATTTTCTATATAATATAAAATCAAAGAAAATAAATTAGTATATAAGTTTTTATCTATAAACATCAACTTTCATAATCTATCAATTTTTATACTACTATATCTTTTGTTAATAAAAATCCATCAATATGGAGGTCACTATGAAAGTTTTGAGATATAGCTTTATTTATTGAGCTGCAATTTTCAAATTGCACACCTATACATTCCTACTGTTGTCTGTCCATCCTTCATTAATCTCGAGAACAGAGTTAGATAGATGAAAATGAATACCAGATATAGAAAGCTTAGGGGCCAGAGACCCTGAAGAATTTCTGCTTTGGAATGGAAGTCACATGATTTTTTTTTAAATTAAATGATTAAAAATTGCAGCCTTGCATCATGATGCCAAATAAATAACTACTTGTTAAACTTTTCAAAATATTTTGCATTACATTGTATACACTTATGCATATGTTCAAACCATTACATACAGTAGAATCTGCTTATTATGATCACTTTGGAATTGCAATTTTTGATAGCAATAACTAGCTGCTAACATTAAATAGGATAAAAAAAAATTTTCATTATTGAACTCAATTTACAAGGGCTGTTCGAAAAGTTCGCAGCCTTGTCTATATGCGGCGCTGCGATCAATTTAATTTTTGGCGGGAATAATNTGGAATAAGTGCATTGCTAACAAAGGAGACTACATTGAAAAATAAAAAAAGTTTTAACATTATTTTGTTTGTTGTTCTATTTGAGGCCGCAAACTTTCCGAACAGCCCTCGTATTACAAACAATTATGACATTTGTATAATTTATTTTTATCACAATCTGTACACTTAATATAACATTACACATTTATATATGCTACATTTCTTACAAAACTGTTTTTGAAAAGAACAAAATTTATTTGAAAAACTTATCAAGTGTTGTGTGTTGTTTGTTTTTGTTTTTATTAGCTCCTGAATATAATTATCATAATCATAATGCTTTTTGCTTTATATTGCACACCATGATGAAGAATTCATAGCATTTCTTGCATTTGGACATAACTTGAAGGAATTTCTGAAATTTCTTCTTCTGTAAATAAGTTAAGCCATTTTCTTCTGATAATTTGGAGTTATCATTGGCAATATTTTTTACATATTTGGAGTCATTGTAGCCACCATTTCAATATTTACTATCTATATCTACCCATTTTCAAATTTGTCTTAAGACATACCACCTGGAATTCTTTCACAAGTTTCAGGTGTAAGGCCAGTTTCTTTGGACGCATGTGTTTATCCCAACTCACTGCAACATGTTTAAAAAAAAATATGTTTCTGGAAAAGATCTAATTTATGTATTTCCTTAAAATTCTTATCCTGCACATGGTATGTAAAAGATAAAAGGTATGCTTTGGTTAAAAGTAAGTTTTGAAGAAAAAAGTCCATTTATAGTAATATGAATTTTCTAAGACTTCTTATTTGTATATGTGATTATGTGATAATTACATTTGTTCCCAAATGTAATTATCACAAGAGATAACAATAGCCAAAGTTTGATTATAATAGTCAAATTATTTTTAACTAATTTTATGCAGTGTGTTTTGGGATAGACCAATTATGATAATAGCTAATTGATAATATTAACCATGATTATCATAATCAAATTCCATTGTATATCTTCAAACTTTCTAAAAGTATATTTAAGTAGATATGATCACATGCTTCAATGAGCTCATCATCTATGAAGACACTTTTCTTTTTTACTTCTACTGTACCTTCATAAGTGGAACGAGATCAATGTCACAGAAGCATGATCAAGCCTAGGTGATTGTTCAAAAAAGATAGATCTAAATTTACTAAAACAAATGTGTTAGTTGAGTTTAGTATACTGAAGCATTGTCATGATAAAGATGCCATGTTTCCAATTGTGAATAAGAAAAATCTTCTTTAATGAGTTGATAAGTTTTGCCATCACATTTTTCTATTCTTTAAGTACTACCATTGTATAATTACTCATTTTCCAAAAAAAAAAAGTTATTACTATCTTTTTTCAACTGGATACAACTGTTTATTGTTGTTAGTGTTTCAACATCTTCTATAATCCATAATTTATCACACGATTTCAATAGAACACTGTAATAATAAAACTAGTTTCAATCTCTGAAAATAGAATTTACCAGCTTTGATCACCTATTTTCATAATTTTTAATATTTCCTGATAACATTTTATTCTAAAATTGCACAGTTCATTTGACAGTATGAGATTCAGAATGCACAAATGTCTCTCGTTCAAGCAGAATTCCACAAATTGTTCATGCACCAATCTTCATTGTTCTCTCTATTTGATTGTATGTAATTCTGCAATCTACATTCAGCAATTATTGAATTGCAGTAATATTTTCTTTACTAACTGCTTACACTCAACATCCATACTATGAATCATTTGTAATAATAATGATCACCTGCACATCGGATTTAACTAAATAACACGTACCTCAGAAAAACCTTTAACTGATGCGAAATAAACTTTAACACTACAAACGTTTTCAGACCCCTCCTGGGTCCTTCTTCAGGTAACGATTTTTTAAAATTGTTCCAAATGAATGTTTTTCGTATTTAGTAACGTTTCAAACGATTTTTACCTGAAGGACCCAGGAGGGGTCTGAAAACGTTTGTAGTGTTAAAGTTTATTTTGCATCGGTTAAAGGTTTTTCTGAGGTACGTGTTATTTATGAATCATTCATTACTAAGTTAAACTCTCTTCTTTGAAATTCTTTATACCATTGAAAGATAATTACAAAAATTGGAAAATTATCATAAAAATTTTTTTCTTTTCTAACAAATGTCTTCTGCAATTAAACTGCAGAAACATTTATCCAAAATGAATTAACCCCAACATTTTTTTTTTATCTCAACAAATTTTTAGGCAAGCACATCTCAAAACTTTTATACTGACTTTCATACAAACCTAGTTCTTTTCTCTTCCTCTTTCATAACTTTTATATCTTAGGCTATTGTTAAATTCTATTCTTCTTTCTTTAAAATTCTTTATATATTTTAGATTTTTATATTGATTGTGATTTAATTTCTTTCAAGTGTTAAGAATTTTAACTTGCTACTTATAAAAATCTAACTTTAATGCTATCTGAAATTAAGATAGTTATGGAATCTTGGAATAAACAACATTAATGAAAACAATAAATTATTATTTTGTTAAAATTTTGTTGTTAAATTATTACTTTAAAATCTTTCTAATATACTATACATATTTTAAAATACTTAAATTCAATGCAAAATTATTACAGTATACCTAAATATTAAATAATATCTGATTTTTATATACAGTATTTTTTTGTAGTGAAACATTTCATAAGACATTAAAAATTAAAAAAACAAGCATTTCAAGATTAATTTTAATACTTTAATAAAAAAAAAACATTTTATTCATATTAACATCATTTCATGTTTGCATATAAGACTGATTTTATATTAATATTTTTACTCACCACTTCATTAGATACACAAAGTGGATAACTTATTTTGTTTTTCCATTTGTGTTCAATATTTTTCCTTACTTCAATGCTAACTTTTTCCTGAACTGGTTTGAAATGTGAATTTAAATTTTCTGCAAGTTTTTCCTATAAAGAAATATTTTATTACTCTTCTTAATAGGTTTTTTTCTTATCAAACACTACTCATTTTTAAGTTTATATATATATATCCATAAACTTAAAAAAGAATATGTATATTCCATAAATTTAAAAATAATAAATAAATGGTTTTAATAATAATAATACATATATATGTCTACTAGCAGATGAGCCTGGCATTGCTCAGGCAAAAAAAAAAAAAAAAACAGCAAAGATTAAGATTATCAGATTCTTTCATATTTCTAACCCTTATATTACCTATATTATTTGTTTTATCTGACTACAAAGATTATTTTATGTAAGGTTTTATCACATTAACTGCCCAATCTAACACATTTAAAAAATTTTTTAAATGTGTTAGATTGGTCAAGCAATGTGATAAAGTTACATAAGATAATCTTTGTAGTTACATAAATCAAATACTATGATATAAGAAATATTAAAACGAAAATCATATAATAGGACAGAAATACAATTTTTATTTCATATTTCTATTTCCTGGTGTAATAATCACCAAGACAACTGTATTTTCAAAAAGTGAATGAATTAATCAATGAAATAATTGTTTGCTATTTTACTTATATAGGAGAAGGTGGGATAATTGAGAATGCAGGGTAAATCTGAACACTGCCATTTCTCCATGTTCCCTTCCTCTGAATCCTACACACCTACACTCATAGAATAGCTAACCCTATGGTTAGTGTTGTCATCTTGTTAAAGATTATATGAAGTGTGTGCACTGTAAAAAGCATTAAAATATTTTGCTTAATTTGATGTAACTTTTTGTTGGTTTGGAAAATTGGTTTCCTAGTTTCTTGTATAGTAACATTGTGTTAGGTGTTTAGTTTCAAAAAAGTGCATCTAATGAAGATTTCATTAATTAACTTCAAATTCTGATGGATCAAACAGTTTTTGTTTTAAATGTCATTTCAATGTCACCTGTTCATTTGAGATAATTGCAAACAATTCTAATTGGATTAATTATGACCATTTAGAATTACCCCAAGTTGATGCTTTTCATTTCAGATGCCAACAAAATATATCAAGAAAATGGCAACTAAATATAATAAGAATGACCTTAAGCTAAGAGTAAAATATGTGAATAATAAAAAACTTATGCAGCATTATCAATATTTTGGAAAATTTACTAATATTTTACATAAAACATTTCAAACTAGTGTATATTTTTTGATAGAAAAACACACAGAAATATATCTTTAATTATAAAATATACTATAAATACTTGTCTAAATTATCTTTAGTTATCATAAAAGTATTGTTTTTTCAGTCTAAGATTTTTAAAGGAATATAATTTACCAGTTTATTCCATATAACTGATAATTATTTATAGTATATTTTGTAATTAAAGATATATTTCTATGTGTTTTTCTATCAAAAAATACACTGGTTTGAAATGTTTTATGTAAAATAAATGATAGTATTCTTGTAGTGGACCAGTTTTATTAAATAATAGTCATGGCTATTATTTTAAATTGTATATTTCTATGGTTAATATTTGAGGACAGTCATTATTTCCTTTGCAATACCTGTTAATAAAATATTTAGAGTATGTGTGAATGGATGTTTAAAGCAAACTATACTTGAATTGGAAACTGGTATCATTCTGTACAATGAGTCTTACTTTTTATATATCAATAATAAGGAAATAATTAAAAAAATACACCCACTATCTATTGTAAACTTTACATATTCCATTTTCTATTAAAAAATTTGTTTGTTACATAAATGTGTTACCTATCTACCTACATAGTTCACAGTATTTATTAATTTTACATTGTTTCTTTTAAGTTTTCAGAAATTCTCAAATAGTAAACCTGGTTACTATTCATGAGCAGTTATTATTTCAAGCTTTAAAGGTGAGGTGTGGTTGTTGCTTGAGGTGGTTGTTATTCAAACAAACTAGTAAATGTAATGCAAAAAAATTAAATATATAATCTTTCATTCTAAGTCTTTAAAATTATTGTATTTAGTTAAACTTCATACATATACAGTGGAACCTCTGTATACGGCCTTAATCTGTTCCTGATGTTTCGACTTATAGCAAGCCAACCTTTCCCACAAGAAGTAATGCAAAAATGATTAATCCGTTCTCATGTAAAAAAAAAAAAATGGTTGGCTTTAAACACTTCACTTTCCTGGCTAGTTCCTGCTTGATTTTTCATGAGATCAACCTGTATCTTTTTAGCTTTCTCGCAAATAATTGCTTCTGATACGATGTTGCCAGCACACTGTTTTTCAGTTATCCAAAGCAAAAGCAATTTCTCAACATGATCTAATGTCTTCGATCTCTGTTTAGAAATTGATTTAACTCCATTTGCAATGTTAGCAGATTTAATAATGTCTTTATTTTTCACGATTGTTGATATTGTCATTCTCGGAATACAGTATGCAACAGTTAAATCTTGAACACTCATGCCACCTTCATATTTCTCAACAATCTCTTTTTTCAGTTCCATTGTGATTCTAGTCATTTTTTTTGGTTTTCTGTTGCTTGTCATTTGCCTTTTTGCAATTCATGATTAATAAAAGTAATAAAATTTTACTTACAAATGAAAATCAGAAGAAATTTAACAAAGTTATAAACTGTGGCACTGTGATCGTCTAGTCTGGTCTAGTTCACCAATAGTGCAATTCATAGATGGCGCATATAATTGAATTAATTCGTATACCGAGCAAAATTTGTTTCGTCCAAACAGGACGTATTACAAATTGGACGTATTGTAAAGCAGACGTATACTGAGGTACCACTGTATTTGAACACCGATTCCATTTAGAATGTTTTAAAAAGTTAAACTTACTATATTTCTTATTGAACTAAATAATTTATTAACCAAAACTATGTTTTTTCTTAATATCTGTTTTTGCCAAAACTTAAAATGTTGATTCATTTTCCGGCTAAATTGCATTATCCTCTTCTTCTCTTAGAATAAACCTGAAATATATATTAATAATGGAAATTAAATTGAGTCAAGTAATACGAAATTCTGTTTATAAAGATATTTATGAAATTTTGTTAAATATACAAAATGTTTTTTGATTAAACTTCTAAATTATAATAATTCTTACCTTTATGTATCCGATATTTTATCTTTATCATGTTACAAAGTTTTTTTAAAGTTAGAAATTATACTTTGAAAACACTTGTAAATACAATACACGCTTTACATAAAGTTGCCATGTGACAAATTACTGTAGAAACACTAGCGACATCTTGCGGATTACATTAATATAACAATAAAAATACATTGTACATTTTTTTAATAAAATCGAAAAAAAAACAGTTGTAAAATAAACAATATGTATTCTACTATACAAAATTTAAAGTAATCATAATAATTGTGATAAATTATGATAATAATAAATTATTTCTTTAATTAAAAAAAGCGGGCAAGGGCATTTGCTCCACTTTCCCGGCACGAGAAGTTAAAAGTGAACGTGGCGTGCCGTCCTTGAAAGCGATGGCAGTGCCGCTTCCCTTGTATTTTCTAAAAAGACATATTGTGCGATTATTTTCATATTTTAACGTTCTTTGAATTAATTTAAATTAATATTTTTTTATAACCGCATTATGTATCTATACTACATGTGAGAAAACGACAAAATTGCTATTGTATATTCGAATATCAGTAGGGGAATGGAAGCGCTGTATCGTGGAATACAGGACAGCTTCCAAACAGCTAGATTATACGCATTCGCGCATGCGCTTTACAGAGCACCAACCTCACGCAATAATGTTCTTTATTTAGTTCACCTGTTTAGTGTGCAGGTGAACTAAATAAAGAACATTATTTTTGAACTGTATGACTAAATATCTGCATCCATAATTTTCCAGTATAATAAGTCTTGTTAATATATAGAAAGTACTAGTATACAAAATAAATTATAAAAAGTTAAAAAGGACAAAAAGGCATAATAATTAATCTTGTAATGATTCGTTTACTTGTATTGAAATGATTTTTTGTTAATTATATACATAAAAATTTTTTAAAAAAGTAAACACAGCAAGTGAAAAAGATTTCAAATGATTGCTTTATCGGTATTTTTTTGTAGAATAAATTGTGTGCGCACAAAAAAGCAGAAATGGATTAACATACGTAATACTCATTTTAATGATAAATACGAAATGTGAATACAGTAATACCCCGAACTTATGCGATAGGTGGGACCGAGCGGTAACCGCGTAAGTCGAATTCGCGTAAGTCGGGGTATAATTTCGCATATAAATACATACAAATAATTTTTAATTGGGGCCGGAGACTAAAGAAAACAATAATTTAGAAAAAAATGTTTAATAAAATCTTAGATAATACATATGTATAACAAATTAGGCCTATATTATTTTACAATTTTTCACATTTACTTGATTATTACGCCATAATTTTAACATTGTTTCCATCTCAGCGATAATACTGTGACGTTTACGAATGATGCTTGAATTTAAAGATTGAGCATTTTTCACAGCTTCGAGAATTTTTTCTTTGCCTTTTATAATTGTTCTGACCGACAATTCCGGTAGATCAAACTTCTTTGCCAATTCACAAATTTTCATTTTTGTATCGAAGTCTTTAATAATGGGTACGTTCGTAAAGTCAAACGAGTTAAACGCGTTAGTAACGAATCGTTCGAAAAGTCTAACGAAATAGGAATAACGATGACTTCATTCTCGCTTAACTCGTTCGACTTTACGAACATACCCAATGTTAACTTTACATTCCAAAGATAAAGTTTTTCTTTTCTTGTTTGATGCAGAAGAATTAGTTCTACTTCGTTTGGATGACATAGTAGAGTCTCTCGAGTCTCCGTAGATATAACAAACACAGAAATAAATAACACAAAATAAATTGTAGCTATGTGTGGATTCCGCGCGACACATCCGAACATGTAAGCTGAACAATAGTGTGGGGGGAGTGAGTAATCAAGGCTTGCGTGGCGCTCAAACAAAAGACGAATCGACGAGATTTGAAAATCGCGTAACTCCGGGTTCGCGTAAGTCGGGGTAGCGTAAGTCGGGGTATTACTGTATAGTAGAATATGATTATAATAAAAGCTACACACTGCGAATGAAAACATTAACTTACGTAAAAAAGGTAGACGTGACAAGGGTATTTTACACATGGTACTTTTAATATACTGTAGTTTAAAATACGTTTGTATTTAACAAAAAAATAATAATTAATAGAACTTTAATTTTTTACATAGACTTATTGATATAATATGGATACCAAATTCGATGTACTGTCGTTATTAATTGTGCACAATTAACAGACACCGAGATTAAAACTGTTTCTTTATATCGCCTATTTGACAATGCATTTCGGACTCGTAATTTTCCAATCCCTGTTCGGGCTCACGGCTTCAGTGTATGTTTGTTTGTTTTATTAAGTTATTGCAACGCAACACATGGGCAATCTGCCTAAAGGATGCCTTCCGGGAAGTCTTTTTAAGGGCAAACTGGTCTCTATCAAGGTGTTACAGACGAGGAGAAAACCCAGAAAACGGTGAAATTTTTTCGCGGCTGTCAGGTATCTATCGATCAGCGGCTGGGAAACAACGTTATACACCAGCCGTCTGCAACCTTTCTGACCTCATGGACCATTAAACTCATGATTTTGAATTCCGGACCACTATCATCATGAATTTTTTTAAACGATGCAAAATTGTAGAATAATGATCATAAAAGCTCAATTTTTCTATATTAATATGAAACTCGCTTGTTTAATTATAACAAATTAATGCAAGTCTAAAGTTCATTGCTGCTTGTTTGAAATAAGTTTATGAATTCTTAGCGCTTTTCCACGAAGGACGACAATCACACTCACAATATTGTTTATTATTTATGGATAACAGTCACTTCGTATTTGTTTTAGAATCGAATAAAAACACCCCAATAGTGAAAAAAAGCAACTAAGCATTTTGCATTTCTTTTGTAATACTTCGCGTAACTTTCAGTTGATCAGTGTCCAAATTTCTCCACGGACCATCAATGGTCCACGGACTACCGGTTGCCAATCGCTGTTATAGACATCCGGATTGCTAATAAAGATATTGACCTGCCGCTCAGGAGGATTTGGTTTCGTATCCGGATTGGCTCAGAGATTTCTACGAGTATGTTTACTACGACATGGTGGATTATCAAATTGTTTTCATATAGTAAGAACGCTAAGTGGTAAAGGAGTCAGCACACGACTTTGGCAAGCTCGGCATCAAATATATGTGAATAACTTCCGAAAAATTTTTATAGATGAATATGTCGGACTCCATCCCTCACCATCCGGTAGCTTTGTGGATCCTAGCCGAACCAACAATGGGTATCGAGAAAAAGCACTCTCGGTGCCCATAAAACAGAAAAATCTTTAAATGAAATATCTGTATTAAAAAAACTCTCATAATGTACGCAAGAAAGAAATACATTAGCCTTAAAAAAACATTGTAACAAACAATTTTTATACTGAAATTATTTTAAAAATTTTGTAGCTATAATTTTTTATTATATAATTTAACATAATTCAATATTTAGCATAAATATTTACTAATAGATTTTTAAACTTTATCAATCAGTAATTCAAGAAGATAATTTTTACGAGAGAGGGCGCTTAAGTGTAATTTTCTTTCGTGTGCTCGTGTATTCGCCATTTTGGTAAGTATAATTTTAATCCGTTTTGTTCAGAAGTAATAAAGGTCATCTAATATTTTTAAAAAGTAAGATATATTTGTATGTTATCGAATTAGAGAATGGTACTATTATTGATGTGTTATTTAATATTCAAAACTCATTATTGCCGTTTGCAAACTGCACATGATTATCAACTCGTAAATCTGTAAATTTTGTTTGGATCTTTTAATATAAGACTTTCAATATTTGTTGTTAGTGATATTAGTTACGTCTTTATCAGAAGACAATGAGCTATAACAAAAAATTTCGATTTACAAGGATTAATGTGAAAATACAGATAAACGAAAAACTCGATTACAGATTTCAATGTTATCCAATGTGCTGATTCGGAGATGTTTTCAAACATTTGGAGCTAATTACGTTGCTATGTAGTTGCATATATATCAACTAAATATTTGTAGGTGTTTTTATTCAAGTTGAAACTTACGTTGAAGTCAATATCACATAAGACAGAGATCTCCAATTTTTTTCTAAGAAGCGTCATGTGAACTGTAAAAGGCAATTTTGTAGTGAGGTCGAAAAAGCACTTGATCTAAAACAGGACAAGTCTAGAGTCAGGTATGAAAAATACAGTAACAGATCAAGATTTTTAAAAAAATTTTGAATAATATGGTCATAAATCAATGTGAAATTTGCAACCCTGCTTTTATGAAGGAATGTCATCAAAAGTGGGGAATAATTTTGAGCATTCAACATTAAATTAAAATCACATTTAAATCCAACACGAGAGTCTGTGTGGTTGCTTCAACATATAGACAGTCATGAGAAACCTGTGTGGCTTTGCTTTTGTCTATTACCAATGACTACCACAGATTGATAACTAACTGTGCATGAATATAGCTGGGGACCTATTCTGAGCTCTTCTGACAACTCAACAACATGTGGTTGCTTCAACATACAGTAATACCCCAAACTTACACAATAGGTGGGACCGAGCGATAACCGTGTAAGTCGGGGTATAATTTCGCATATAAATACATAAAAATAATTTTTAATTGGGGCCGGAGCCTAAAGAAAACAATAATTTAGAAAAAAATGTTTAAATAAAATCTTAGATAATACATATGTGTAACAAATTATATTATTATACAATTTTTCACATTTACTTGATTATCACACCATAATTTTAACATTGTTTCCATCTCAGGGATAATACCATAATGTTTACGAATGATGCTTGAATTTAAAGATTGAGCATTTTTTACAGCTTAGAGAATTTTTTCTTTACCTTTTGTAATTGTTCTGACCGTTGATTCTGGTAGATCAAACTTCTTTGCCAATTCACAAATTTTCATTTTTGTATCGAAGTCTTTAATAATATTAACTTTACATTTCAAAGATAAAGTTTTTATTTTCTTGTTTGATGCAGAAGAATCAGTTTTACTTCCTTTGGATGACATAGTAAAGTCTCTCGAGTCTCCGTAGATATAACAAACAGAAATAAATAACACAAAATAAATTGTAGCTATATGTCGATTACATGCGACACGTCCAAACATGTAAGCAACAACAGTGTGGAGGAAATGAGTAATCAAGAGTTGCGTGGCACTCAAACAAAAGACGAATTGACGAGATTTGAAAATTGCGTAACTCCGGGTTCGTGTAAGTCGAGGTATTACTGTATAGACAGTCATGAGAAACCTGTGTGGCTTTGCTTTTGTCTATTACCAATGACTACCATAGATTGATGACTTAACTGTGCGTGAATACAGCTGAGGACCTATTCTGAGCTCTTCCGATAACTCGACAAGATCAATACATGGGACGTTCGATAAGTCTCCTTACTGAAAGGCAGTTAATGAACCTTAGACAAATTGCTATTCTGTGCTCCATGTTAAGTGGGTTTTGCTATGGGTAATAGGTCGAAATGCATCTGGGTTCCATGCTATCAATAGCTGTTACGCTTTAACCAATCACAGTTTAGTTAACATTGTATTTTTGTCACATCACTTCATTCCACTATTCTAAGTGAAGCATGTGGTTTTAGCATTGTGGCATACCAGTGCTAATGAAAGAGTTTTGTTTTAAAACGTTGAAGAAATGCCAACGAAGCCAGCAAACTACAAGTTGCCAGTTTGAGATGCTCGTTAATTTTATAGAAGACAACCCTAAATTAATGTCAGGGAAGTTAGATGCTTTCTTTACTGTAAAAGATTGCCAGAAATTGTGGCAAGAAATAGCCGAACGCCTGAATTCCGATGGAGTCGGCTCACAAAAATACCCAGAAAGATGGCGAAAAGTAACTGAGAGCTTAGAATATAAATATATGACTATAATTTTAATTTATACATATGTGAATGAAACCTATTTCAGAAATAATGTTCACACACCATATCCTACAAGAAAATAGACATTAGAACTATTAAAACTATCCTTTGGAGTGCTTAATCATCGAGTGGCAGCAGGACTGGAATGAGAGCAACACCATCACCCACGATTACTTACCGGACATCCAGCAGCTACTAAATAGTAATTTCTATTCTCCAAATCATCAAATGACACAGATGCTCACCAATCATGGATCCTTCTTCTCATACCTTGCCAGATTCAAGGGCAGAACTGACAACATGTGTCCCATCTGTGGCACCACAGACAGTAGCAGACACTACATCCTGCATTGCCTGACGGTGGAACAGGAGCGTCTACATCTAAAAATTACTGTTGAAGCCCATAATTACAACTGGCTTCCCTCTAACTTTGTTTGTCTGTTCAGGCACAAGGACACCTACAGTGCCTTCTGTAACCTTGTAAACATGTACTTTAAACGAACTACAGTGCCAACCTACACCTAGTGCTCTTCCGAGCCTAACCTCCTCTGTTTATGTGTGTTTGTATGTATCGGACTTGTCACTTCTACCAGCATGTCCGCATTGTTTTGATGTTTGTACAAGGGCCTGCGTGCCCACGTTTTCCTTCTACTGCACATATACCCTTTCTGATTGTGTAAACGTGTTTGCTTTATTTTTGGTACTGTACATGACAAGCAGCATATTCACTATTGTTACTTACTCTACATTATGTATTTTGCATTTAATTATTTTGTATGCGTTTTACTTTTCTCAATTCTGAAACTTGTACTTATGGCATCTATTAGTTTGTCTTAGTCACTTATCTCCAACAGTTTGTATTTACGGTATTTGTCCTCTTACCAATTTTCTTTGTAAACTGTATTCATTGTCACGACTCACCCGGTTGTGTGTAAATGGTACCGGGAATGTACCTTTGGTATATTATCAATAAAAAATATCTATATATCTATCTGTTCACACTATAGCTACTTTAAATTTTAACAAGAAAGCAATTACATTATTCATACAATATTCATAAATAGTTAAGGTAATTATTTTTAAGCAATACAACAACATAGTTTATTAACTCTCTCTCCAATTGCTTGTGAAGTAAAATCGTTCTTACACCAAAAGATGCCATATTGTTTACACTTTTGTTATGTTCCTAACGGCAGGTGGAGAGTGACTGATAACAAAAACTTAGTTATCTCATGTGGCTATCGGAACTGAAAACGAAACGTATGGCTCGGAATAGCATTTTCACAGTTGATTAAACGCAAATCACATGGTTCCGATAGAAACTGGTTTTTATTGTATTCGTTAGCTTAACGATACTATTCAGAATACGCCCCCAGAATTGCTTTTGTCTCTTGTTTTGATATTACCTTTGTGCCAACCTTTTGAAATTCATTTAACAGTGATTGTTATAGTGTGTTTTATTTTTAAAGTCGTTTGTTCATGAAGCTACAAAAAAAGCAAAAATAGGAAAGATTTCCTGTGAAAACTTCATAAGACTTAAAATTCTCTTCTGGAAGAGATTTTTAAAAATTTAACAAACTCCCTCCTTTAAATAGGTTTTTATGAAAATCATTTATAGTGAGGTCTATTAAGGATATTCACAATCCATATCTTTGCTTAGACTGATTTTGAAGCTTTCTTAAATACCACAAAAGTTATTTCTCACAATTTTATCTTTTTTAGTATAGATTCTATGGCAAAAGCCAACAGAAAGCTTCCATGGTGCTATGTTAGTCAATTATTGAAATTTGCCAACAGTGACTAGAGTCATTTTTTGATTAAAAACTGGCTGAATTTTTCAGTGATGTCATCCAATAAAATGGTCCAACAAAGATGAAATAAAGATTGCAAATTGTTTTGTTGGAATCCATGTTCATGGTTTGTAGTTTTTGAAAAATGCAGCTTTTAAGAGCAAGAAAAGTTTCTCATGCTTTTAAAGCTTAAAACCTTTCCCACGTATTACTTCTAGTCGATTTTTGAAAAGTTTGTTTTTGAACTAGTTCAAATGTTGGTGATAAAGCATATCAATGAAAACAAGCTACGTGGTCCAGATAAATATGCTTCATGGCTGTAGATTGGAATGCTTTAACATAAGGTTTAATATGATAGCCTCATATACTTAGATATTGGTTTCATTAAATTAGAGTTTGTGTTGAACTATTTTAAATCAAACAAAAATATTTACTTTATATTATTTCTATAACTATTCAGTGAATTTATATTAACATTTTTTACAAACTTTTTGTCTATTTTGTTTCCTAATGGTATTAATTAAAATTCCATTAAATTTTCCATTATGAATTTACTAATAATTTTATTAATATATATAAAATGTAAAGACAGTTTTAATGATAGATGGACAAAAAAAAATTAATAAAGTTTCTTACTCTAGGAACATCATGGCACCAAAACGAAATAATATGATTCCCAATGGCCATTTCCATAAGGATTGGCAAAGATATGTCAAAACTTGGTTTAATCAACCAATGCGTAAAAAGAGGCGTCATTTAAATAGAGTAAAGAAAGCACGCCGAATTGCACCCAGACCAGCTGCAGGTCCAATTCGTCCTATAGTGAGATGTCCAACGTTTAGATACAATTCCAAGCTTCGTTTGGGAAGAGGTTTTAGCCTTGAAGAATTAAAGGTGTGTTTATTTTTATGTAAAAAATTTTATCACATATGTGATAAATATATATATGTAGGATTTTGTAAGAAGTATTAATATTTTGAAACTTACTTTCTTTTTATCAAAAATTCTTTCGAGCTTTCCTGTACATATCAAATCAAAAATTATTTTTTAATTTATATTTTTAAGCAGTATTATTCTCAGAACGACTTGATTTTAAATGTAACATTTGAATGATTTTTATTTTCAAACTTTCTTCATTATTTTATTTATTATTATAGGATTTTCTGAATAAATATTTAAAAAATTTACTTAATGACCATTTGATAGTGATCTTTCAGGAAGATCTTTTTAATACATTAACATTGCTTTAAATCATAAGTAACATCTGTTTGATATTAGAAATATTTTAGAGTTAGAAAGTAAATGGGGATGGATGTAATTTCTCCTTTAGTTTTATGGTTATATAATATTTGTATATAAAAATTTGTGCATACAAAAATGCAAATACAGTAACCTCTCATTATATTGCTCATTCAACTCTCAAATGAACTAAGTTCATACAAACCATTTTCAAGATAGCATATTATTTAGGAAGTATTTTAATTTATCTTATTAACCTGTTCTGTGTTTTGCACTTGTTTAAATTCATAAGCTAAAACTTGCAAGCTTGTTTGGCAGTACCTATGTATGCTTGTTCACATACATAGGTACTGCCAAACATGCTTGCACAAAATCGAGCATTGTCTTTCAGTTTTGAAAATGATGTATCAGGCAGTCCTTTGTAGAATATGAGGAGATTAGAATTTTTAAACTGTGATTTCAATTCATCACTGCACTGGATGTTTATCAACTCAAGTTGGACATCTGGAGGGGCATCTTCCACTTTCACATCAAATGGAGTTGAAAAAAGTTGCAGGTAGATCTTGTATTTCTGGAATTCACCAAACCTCTCATTGAATGATGTAAGGAGGGTGTTAACTTGGTCAGAGTAATCCATCTTCATATGT